TTACAAATTTCCGGCTCATGTGTAGTACAAATCACTAGCGAAACTATAACCTCCAAACACGTACCAACCCCATCTCATTTCTAAACATAAATGTGCCACACCTAGCTTAGATAGCATGGTCACTGGCGGACCAAGCATACCAAGTTACCAACACCAGGTATAACCCCTCTCTTTAAATAAGTATTATTGTGTAGTTTCTGTTTTAAGTATAACATTCCTTGGGACATTACCAATAGCAAAAATAGCATAGAGTTATTGGTGGGGCAAAGAAGAATGAAGGGAAACTAATGTTGATTCAGCATATAATTGAGGTCCCAAGTCAATGAGGGATCCACTCCAGACCTTTCGGTTTATAATCTAGTTATCTCCAGTCTTGGTTTATATCTTCCCAAAGTCAATCTTGCAAGTTCGACCTATCTATAGCAAGGGGATAATAGCACAAACTTCAGACTTCGGGAAATTTTATAGAAGCCTACTCTGATATGGGTCTTGAAATCAAAAGGATATTCAAATTGTGTAATATGAATGGTACCTCCATTTCCGGTACATAGCTTGAATGACATGAGTAGTAAGGAGAAAAAGAAAGGACTTGAATCTAAATTACCTGCTCAGGTGTTTTTCTGTGTCGGTCTGCTATCTCTGAAACTGTTGATATTTTCAGCATAGGCCCATGCACAGACCTTGACCTCCTGAATGATATGCGAGGAGTACCAGGTTCATCTTCCCCACCTGAACTGCTATCAGATGGTCCAGGAGTAGAAGTTGGGACTCCTAAGGGTGTGTGAGCAGACACATGGATACCTTTCAATTGACAGAACTTTACAAGTTCATCTTGCCTCCAAAATGGGTGCAACTCCACCTAAAAATCATAAATCAAATAAGCAACCTGAATTATGTGATAATATCATAGATTGAGCAACTTCAAGACCAGACCCTAACAATCTAGATTGAAACAATGATGATTGGATACTAATTAAAATCTAGCAAAGATGAACGTAAAAATGCAGCCACTGTACCAGAAAAGAGTTGGGTTTCCAGTGTCAACATTGAGTCAGAAAGAAAGTCATGAGAGGTTTTACTCCTACAAATCAGTCTCTTTTCAATAAAATTAGATTCAAGTTTCAACTAGTTTTGGAGCACAAATGCAGTGACGTTGGCAATATTTATTAAAAAATCAAAGAAAGTTCAAAGATCGGTGAAGAGGAAAAATTCAGTCTTTAAGTTCATTTTCCAGCCAGACTGTGCTAGTAGGCCAATTCTTACCAACTCAAATGGTGGTTTTCAGCATTTCACATAACATATGTATATCCAATTACCCATTTACCCAAGCAGAACCTAAATGAGCTGCTTCAATACAGGTTATGTTACGCAATATTGTTATATAAATGCAGGTTCCTTCATGTTGCACTGAATCCCACCGTTCAACACTTACAATTACTAGGACCTTCAACCAAATAATGGAGAAAGTGTAGGACATGCTTTGTTCATGTGAGTAGATTGTAGCAAAATAGTTGCTGAAACACCTACTTATCTAACGAGATTTTCTCGTCAAATGTTACTAGATTAAGTCACTTGTCTACTCTAACATATTAGACCCATGGATCGACATTGTAATCAAACAAGAAGCAGAAAAGGAAAAATAAAGATATGGAAACACATTGCATCATTCAAACAATAATAAATACTTATAAAAATGCTGAAATGTTAAAAAATTGCAAGAATGATCTACCGAATCCAACCTGATTGACAGCAGGTACAATCTTTGCAAATTTAAGCAATTGTTTGATTTGCGAAACACTGAAATTGCTGACCCCAATAGCTCTCACCAGACCCATCTCAACCAGACCTTCCATAGCTTTCCATGCTTTCTTCAACCGATTCAAGAATTGCCTATACTCACTCCCAGACTTTGAAGGAGGATCAGTAGCATCACCAAACGCCGAGCTGTCAGGCCAATGCATCAAATATAGATCCAAATATGAAACTCCAAGATTCTTAAGAGAAACTCGAACATAGTTCTCGATTTTATTGAGAGAATTCATCGTGCAGTAGAGCTTAGAAGTCAAGAAAACGTCTTCCCTCTTCAGTGAACCCTTAAATGCTTCAGCTAATGCTTCCCCAACTTCAATCTCATTACCATAAAGATGTGCACAATCTATATGGCGGTAACCAACTGATAACGCCGTTTTTACGGCTTGAACACAAAGGTCTCCACCACTCTGCCATGTCCCAAGTCCAATGGCAGGAATTCTATCCCCTGTGTTTAACACAAAGTAACTTCCTGGTGTTCCAAACTTTCCCTTCATCCTCGAGTTTCAGAGCCAAACGGGTAGATTGTAAAAAACCAAGCAATCCTAAATCCCCAGAGTGCAACAATCAAATCGAAATTCCAATAATTCAGCTATATTAACAGGTGAAATATGAGCTCCAAGCAAACTATTAAGAACCCAAAATCTCAGAAACGGGACAAAGTATGCAAATCAAGCAAATACCCAAATAATCAAACACCAAAAACTGAGAAACCCAAGTCGCAGAAAATCAAAAGAAGACTTCCAGACCAAAAAAGACTGCAACTTTGACTACAAAATTGCCCGCAATCTGTATGTCAAAATGTCAGAAAGAGAGCTCACCACGACAAGAAGCGAAAGAAAAGGCCAATGCTGAATCAAACAATCAAGCCTTTTTTCTTTGGAAACCAATACAAGCGTATCACATCTGATGAAGTGTGTACGAACATATTCAATCAAGGGGTCCTGGTCAACAACGGCAGCGCAGAGAGAGAGAGAGAGAGGAAAGGGAAGCCCCCAAAACACAAAACAAAAGGCTTAGCTGTGATATCAATCTCTTCCATGAGGAAAATGCAATGGACAAACGCTGCTATGCTCTGTGTCTAATTTTATTTATATATATATATATATTATTACTAAATAAATTGTCATTTTCTAATAAAATTCAATGTTTAACCCACCTAACTTAGAAGACTCGTCCAAATCCACCCACCACCCACCCCCCACCCAACCTAAAACGACATTCATTGACGATTTGATGTCTTTCGTCTCCATACAAGAACGTATGTACAAATCAATCAATAAATAAACATGCAATGTCTTTGTTTCGACGTGACAATCTTTTTCTAATCATGTTTGTGAAAGTCGTAGCAAATGAGGAAAAAAGGAAAGCTTTTGCCACAACGTAACGGTAAAAGCAAACTGCTTTTTATTTCACTTTTGGGTTCGGATTCTTGTACTCCAACTTTGACTCTACGTCGCCGGTCCGTATTATTCATCATTCATTAATGTAATCATATATAGACCAGTGATGAAAGTACACTTTACCAATTTTTCCGGAGCTAATAGATCCAGCAGTTCCGATCATTCAATTTAAGTTATGCGGTCTCCACTGGCTCATCCCACTAACTCACATGTCACACAAAATCACGCCCTCATCTCTCTCTTGAGCGCTCCAAATAGCTAGGTTCGTTGGCCCCACCATATGAAATTTGGATAGGATATAATCGAAATAAGATGGAGTCGGAGTAGACTTCACTAACTCGGAACATAAATAAGATGAAATGACAATAAGCTTATCCACAAGGCTAACTTAATGATTAAGCACTCGTAGGGTGAAATTTTCCAACTCGAGGTGACACTCAAAATTTCCGGCCAACATTCAAACTTAAAAGCATGGGAAGAACAACCAAGTCTAATAGAATAGACTTATAACTAAATAGGAGCATTAAAGTGATTGGTTGTTCGATTGATCAATCAAGTGGGTGGTGATTCATTATCACCTCATGTTGAGTCAAATAAAACACACATTAAGCTTTCAGGTTAGTAGGGTATCCCACCCATTGAAAGCGGTTAGCAAATCACCTTATGTAGTTGTTGACCATAAAAACTACCAGACCTACATGGCGTGCAGGCCGAGTAATTAATAAACTAACTATGTCCTTCAGTTGTGTGCGGGGCATGCCAACTTGTCGGCCGAACTTGGCCGGGGAGTATAATGTATTGATGTCGCATTAGGAGCAATGTTGACTTCTCAATCTTGCAACTGCAGCCGAGGAAGGAACACATCTCGCCCTTTGGGTTCTAGAGCCTGAAGACAAGACTCCTAGTTCTACAAAGTTCAAAAATCGTAAATCGTCAACGCCAGGTTCGGTCATATTGATTATATTCGTGAGAGTATAAGCACGCGCGAACTTGTACCAAACTATATGGACACAAGTACTCAAAGGAGATATACGTCTTGATTGTAAATGTGGTTCAGCCGTCGGAATACCGAACCCTAAAAGATACTTGTGAATATCCAATCATAAAACAACTCGGCGTTCAACGTGCCGAGCCTAGTAACTTGTAACACTTCACTTCGTTGAGAAGGCTAATGAGATGACCTCCACTAACAAGGACTCGAAAATCTTTGTCGATCGAGACTTGGATAAATAACCCATCAGTCTCGAAGCAGTGTTGTTTATCCAAACTGAAGGTGCTCCTTGATCGGCTAATTCTACAGCTCTAGTGTTGTTCATCCAAACTGAAGATGTTGCCGGTTGCCTTCACAGTGTTGTTTATCCAAACTTTAGATGTGTTGGTAAGAAGAAAGGGGAAGAGGATAAAATCTCAAAGGTTGTTGAGAAGCTTTGCGCAGGGCAATTTGTGTGTTGAATTGGAGGGGCTTGAATAATGCACTCTCTTCTCTATTTATAGCAGCGAATCCCTTCATTGCCGAACTAAAAATGGACTAGGATTAAAACTCCTCAACCCATTCTGATAAGGTTTCGGCCAATCCTAATTCCTATAGGACTTTGAACTAAGCTCTTTAACAAACCAAATTCATCCCCTAATTCTCAGCAGTCCTTAGCCTTAAGACTCCTAGTTGCACTAGGATTCGACTAACTCACCCCTATCCAAACCAAACCTCTTCTTAATAGGATTCGACTGATCTTAACTGGATGCCCATAATAAAAAATAAAAAAAAAACGTGGGAAGAACACAGGTGTGTGAGAAAACAAAGCGCAATGGAATAACTGCAGAGGTAGCATCCTAATTACACTCCGACATATACCAGTCAGGGTAAAGGTAAAGCACCTCCCCGAAAGCAAACCAACATAAAAGGGACAACAAAGGGAACAAAGGGAACAAAGAAAAAAGAAAAGGCAATGAAAGTCCTCCCAAATCAGCGCCTTTATTCAACTACCACCCATCTGCTTTATTCACTGATCCAACTTTCGAGCTCTCCCAATTTCACCTTCACCATCTCAGCTTTGCAGGAAAGTACTGCAACACAATAGTCAAATTTTAAGAACACAGAGAACCGGTGGGAAAAAAGAACGAAATCAAAATGATCCGATTCACAGAAACGTAAGGAGATGAGAACTCATGATCTTGAATCTCTACCTTCTCAATCAGAGAGATATAGTAGGGCTTGACTTTCTCAACACCGATGCGAACTTTGCTCTTGCTGTAAAGGTCATACTTGCTGCATACAGAAAAGCAAAGTTAGTTCGTCTTTATTGTTTTATCAAAATTTGTAAACCAGTATGTCGAACATATGTTTGGAAGGATATCGCGTCTATCTTTGGTTACACAGTCTTATATTGAGAAGTGAATATTCTTACTTGAATACTTTGAGCCACTTCAAGTTCTCAATGTCCTCTTCATTCATCAAGTGCTTATATGCTCCTGCCTTGTGTAAAGCTGCAAAGTAAATTTGATCCATAAATACTAAATATTAACTTGAAACCAGAGAGAGAGAGAGAGAGAGACAGTGAGTGAGTGTGTGTGTGTGTGTCTACTACATGTTGTGTCAAGTAGCGCAATTGAAGGAAAGGGGGCCAACAGGGCTCTCCGCTTTGCGAGGGTAAGGAAATGTACCATAAAATGAATGGTATCTGATAATGAAAAGACCAGCCGAAGGGAGAGTGCTTTTGTTCTCCTTGGCCACCTGTACACACAAAACCGAAGTAAGATTACCATTGTAAGACTGAAAACATTATTAAAAAATGGTGACTCCAAGCCAACAAGGCTCTCCGCCTTGCAGTGGTTGGAAGAGCGTTTGCTAAACGTACCAAGTACATGTAGTCATCGTGGCCCCATGACATTAGTATATTGTCAAGTCCGCAGCCCTCGGAATAGATTCCGTACTTAGTATTATAAGCAGGATTGTTGTAGTCAGGATTTTCCTTGAAATGCTGCAAGGCCAACCCGATTCAATATTAGAGACTATCGACAAATGAACATAATGTTAGTGAACTGAATCATTTCATACTTTGACGATGGAACATGGTACAAAATTTGTGAGAGAAAGACCTTGTGATGAACAATTGACTCATCGAAGGCACACCCGACAGGAAATGTGTCACCTGTAATTAACAAACAGTCTCAGTTAGTTTCATAATAACAAAATGAAACAGACGACGGATTCAATGACCAAAGGTTAAACAAGAAGATGGTCCTCACCTACAACAGCCCACTGAGGAAGCTCCCCGAAAGCAGGAAGATTAAGAACCTTGCCAAGATCTAAATGTCATGAAGAACAAAGTTAATTTAAGCAAATGGTCCTCATGATAAGCTAAATTTACAACAGATACGACTCAGATTAGAGAAGCACGTAATTAATTAATAACGATTGTACAAGTATAGTATACCATGGATCAAGGCAGTCAAGTGCAGCCATCCTTCATTAGGATAGTCCTTTCTGATAGCTTCCGCGGTCTGCAAGAGATGCTCGATCTGGGGCTCATCCAAGTCCGGATCACTCTCATCCACAACTTGGTTGAGATGTTCACAGCATTCCCATATGCTCATTTCCACCTTATCCAGTTTTCCATATTCTTCCCTCATCCGCTTCACCTGCAATCAATTGTTAAACATCCAACCAATCAATACATAAAGCAATGACCTAATTAGGAAATCAAAGAAAAACCAAATTAGCAGCTGATTGTTTACAAAGTCGACGCTCTGGTAAATGTGATTGATTCTGTAGAACTCCTCGACCCCATCTCGCCGCTCGCTGCTAACATCATAATCCCTGCATTTGCATGATATAATTTCATATATTCTACGAATGGAAACATTAAAACCAATGACTTGCATCTGTAATTTGCACATTTCTTAGAAATGGCAAGAACAATACCTGAAAGTGTGGCCGAATGCGTTCGTCGGAGGCTCCACAAACCCACCATCCAACACCAACTCATTTTCCTCGCCAGATTCAGAGACCTTCTCCTCGGCCTCAACCGCTCCTAAAATTCAATTAGTAATAATTCAAGAAAATTATCAGCACCCCTACATGCATGTGTGTGTGTGTGTACATATATATAAATATATAAGATGGGGGAGAAATATACCAAAGTCGGGCTGCTGAACGAGGATGGTCATCCTGCGGAGTCGACGAGCAATCTAAAAGACCGATTGGGGAGAAACGTCGGAGGCGGTGGCGATTGTAATAGCATGGTGAGGGTGTGGGGGAAAATGTGAAAGTATTTATAGCTAGCCGGAGAGTCCTTCCGTGAGAATTCCCAGTAACCGAGTCCTTCCGTGAGAATTCCCGCTCACCGAGTCCTTCACTGAAAATATTTCCAAGAATCTGTGAATGTGAGAGATAAACAGCAAACAAACAACGGTAACGTACGCAAGCCCACCATTTCACCTGGACATGCAGACATGCTATAATATTAGCTGTCATCCTCTCTCTCCATTTTTTTTATTTAGGAAAACAGATGAATTAAAAACTTTGAGTTTTAATGATAAAAACAAAATAAAGGGTAAAATAAATAGTATCAGGATTGACTTTTTAATGTAAAAATATGATTTTTCGTTAAAATGAACAGTACCGTGAGCTTTTCGTTAAAATTCTCTTTTTATTTTTCTAAATACGTTTAAGGATAAATATGTTTTTATGACGTCAGGGAGCTCGTTGTGGATTTTACCTCCATGTGGATGCTGACTCAGCTACAGCTGTGGTGGACGGTTTAGAAGGAAGGAGGGTGGCATAGTGGGGCCCGCATGACGCCGTATTGACTAGACGACTAAACCTTACCGCTCTTCACTTGTTGGGCCTGTTTGAAGGCCCTGAGTCCTGAGTCCTTAAACGCTCCGCTTATGGCTCTTTCCTTTTGGGTTTTCTTTGCTTCTAGAATTATTTTGGTAATTTTAATTTTCACTAACCATATTATTTGGTAGATTTTCAATATAATATTTACATTTTTTTTCCTATTTTTTTTTTTTTGAATATGGATTATTGAAAAGGGCAATCCTTGGCATAAGGAAAAGTTGTTTCTTTGTAAACAAAATATCATAGGTTCAAGTCGTGAAAACAAAGCAATGAAGTTTTTTGCTTGGGGTTGCACTAGGAGTGCCTTGAATAAAAAAACAAAAAAAGTCAGGCTGGCAAACTTTGCTTAAATTTTTATTGACAAGCATATCATTTGAGATAGCACCAATTATAAAACAAAAATATTGATAAAATCAATAATATGAACATGTCGGCAAGTCATTTGGATTATTGATTTTGAATGGTCGGACAAGCGTAGCGTATAGCCAATGTGATCAAGTCCACGCTTGCCAAGTAATCCGAGTTTTACAAGTTTCAGTAATCTCATTATGCGCCTTTAATCAGACTCTAAATTGGAAACTAAACCTCTAATTTTCTCCGTGGACATTAACTACCATTCAAAACCTACTTAAAAAAATGAGAGGGAAGACCTACCATTCAATTCATACACCAGGTCAGTAGGACTAGTAGAGGGCGAAACCAATTCCTTATATCGTATCGTCAACCATCTACCTTCACAATCCTAATCACTCCAATCCACCATCTCAAACGCCTTCATCTCCATTCGTGTTCAACCAGATGATTAAACCGATCTCGTCTGCCACCGTGGAGCTTCCGGTGCAACCCCCGAAGGACATAAACCATTGACGACGACCAAGGAAGCTTGCAGTCCCGGAACAAGGTATGCTTCTTCTGCCGAATCAAATTACTTCCTACATATAAACCTTTCCATGCAATCTCAGCAACAATCATCATATCCAAAGTATATAAAACTAACACAGATTGCACATTTCCGCATGTCATTCAAAAATACAAATGTCCGAAAATACTGATCGATCCCGAGTTCGTGAAATAGAACAAACTAACACACTTTACCTTCCAATCATACATAAAACACTGTTTTTTTCAGCCCCCTTTCCAATCAACAAAGCAACACCAGTCAGTCTGATTCAAGACAATCAAAATAAAAGATCACGATTCTTACATATTTGACAATCCTTTAAAGGGCGTTTCTTTTCAACAAAGCTACCATCCCCTGCTAAGAACCAACACTCAGTATCCAATAAAGCTGCTTCTCAAAGCCCATAGTGGTCACCTTTTCCGCCTCTTTCCAATACTTCGTTCTCCCCATTCGGTAGATAAGCATTTCAAAGTTGTGTACTGTAAGTCTGTTCTTCGTTTTCTATCATCGGATGTTTCTCCATCATCTCAGCGAATCGGGTGATATTGTGTGATCCCACGCTTTGGAGGCAACTTCCTCAAAATGAAAAGGACCAAAGAAGAGGGCAATATCTCCACCAACTGCAAAGCACGTGCAAGGCCACAAGAAATTTTAAAGGCAAAGAATTGAAGATCCAATGAAGTTTATGGGGGCAAAAAAAGATGGTTAGCCAACAAAAATTATAAACCAGATGCTTACCAGGTAATATATAAAGTTTAGAACCGGGTGATTCAAAACATCAAGGTCAGCAGCTTGATCGAATGCGTTGAAGCACATCTGTAGCACAAGAGAAGAATAATGGATGCTTAAGTGAGGAAACAATAAAGCAGATGCAACAATTCAGCTGTGGCTTCAACATTCAATCCAAATTTGGTCGTATACTTGTGCACACACATGATATGTACCATTTATGTGATTTTGATTGTTTAAACTTCGACCTACTTAAAAACATCAAACTTCCTCAAGTTCAAGGATTAGTAGGTGGAATCCAAAAAAATTCAAGCACTTACCATTATACATCTGACAAGGAAACATGCAAAACATATGGTTGTCACATAGCCAACCTGTCAAAGTCAAAAGACACAAAACTAAAGGAAAGTGAGTACATTTGTGATGAGAACTTAAGGGTCCTCAAAACAATCTTGTTCAAGTCTTTACCTCCTGCAGCTTCTTCCGTCGTCCTTTTGATTCTACAGGAAATCTCTGCAACATCAAGAAAAGTCTGCCAGCAACAACAGCATTAGAACATTGCCCAAATAATCAGTGGATAGGTAAAATTAACTATAGCCTGCACAAGATACTAATCTTCTGAAAGTAATGACATTCCATCACATTAAGGGGATGGTGCAACACAGACGTTTCATCCCTCACCCATCTTACAGGATCCCAAAAAAAATCATTCAAACATCATGAGAGCCATACCTCCCTAAACGACAAAAACCTTGAAGACTAACAAAGTATAGAGGGAGTGAGGGAGAAGTAGAACCGTTTTTTCTAGTATAGAGGGAGTGAGGGACAAAGAATTCAGTGGCAGCTGCACATAAGTAACACAAAAGGCAAAATGACAACTTTCTATGGATCCATCAAGTATGATGCATTTATGAAACTATAATTGTTCAAGAAGCCTCGGTATAGTGCTTATTTGTTTCAATTATTTGCTCTTCTGGGCAAGACAACATTGGCAGGAACATCATATCTATTGAACTTAGGCCGCAGCTTCCATGCATCTTAAATGTCCTGATGTGTGATGTTGGTCATGTAGAGTCAAACACGGTACAAATTTGATTCAAACAAGTAAAGTTATGCGGAGGTAAGTGAATTCCAGTTTTTCCTTTTTGTTACAATTTTGCAAGTTAGATGTTTCATATGTCCAAAAAACAGCAGCAAACAACCAAATGCAGAGCAATTACCTTCCACCATATAGAAGAAACCCAAGGGCTGCGAATAAGGACACACCTGCAAGAATGTGTCTTAGAATAACAGATTATCAAGATAAACTACATATCTTCAAAACCTATACGTGCTCATTGAAAAAATACCTGCAAAGAACATCTTAGATAAGGTGAGCAGAACTGGGATAGGCTTCCACCATAATATCAACCACATAGCAATCTGTAACAAGTAAACCAAAACAAAAATACTATTAGATGATATCAGTAGCATTCCCAACATGTAAACAAGCAACTCCCAGGTACTTCACGCTACAAACCATCAATATACATAGAAGTATAGAACTATGCAGAAGCATACTACATAGGTGTACTACAATAAGCATAATCAGTACCATATCAACTATAATGAATATCCAAAAATTAGTCAATGGTCCTACTTCAGACTGGTACCCCTAACCACTCTGAAACAATCCCCAAATTATTACTATAATTTCTGAAATTTTGAATTCAAGTAGTCAATGTTCCTACTTCAAACAGGTACCCCAAAACGCTCCCTCCACTGTTCAGTGAAACAATCCCCAAACTATTTACTATAAATTCTGAAATTTTGAATTCATCAAGACCAATATTTTGATGTATTTTCAGAGTTTCAACTCAACTCATACATAGGTGGAAATGAGCAGAAACTGTTTTTGACATAATGGGTGGCAAACATGAAAGCTTAACCTAGCAAGACTTTGCAAGAGTGAGAACATGATAGGGTGGAATGACAGTAATTCTCTACATATTGAGGTTTGGATATCAGTGGTTAAGCATAGATTTCATGCAAACGGGTGAGTAGGAGCTTAAAATGATATACGTGTGCGCATGGGTGTGTGTCCACAAAGAGAGTGAGGAAGATGATCATCATTTGCATGATGTCACAGAGAGAGAGAGAGAGAGAGAGAGAGAGAGAGAGAGAGGAATGATTCCGTGATAGAATATGCAAGTATAGAAAAAGGGAAGGAATGGAAAGTGCTTCAACTTTAATTTTCTTTCCCTTTAAGGAAAATAAAAATACAGCATGATTTAGTTCACCTTTCCATCTTCCAAAATAATCTTAAAGTTAGGTGGAATAATATTAGTATAATGTGAAGACACTTAGTTAATGAGTTCATTAGCAAGGACCTTGAGCAAAGGTCAATTCCAAATAATATGCACGTACACATAGTAGCAGTTTTCTTGCTTTTATAACATTATATAACATGTCAAATGAGAAGGAGACGGCAGGGAAAAGGGAACACACCCTATTGATGCTATATCTAAATCATCCCATTCTTTTCCCTCCCATGCAAAAAAAAGCATATAACGGAAAGATATGGATCTGATTGTAAACCTAATTATCCAGCATAAATGAGTTATATATTCCGAGCCAGCATGATATTTAACAAAACCACACCCTTGGGGTACTTCCAGTCAACTGTAGGTCAAAGCATAAACTGTGCACACACCTAATAAAACCATTACCCTGCTACCTTTTACTTACTTTCTTGCATTTTACAATATCTAATAAAAAACTCTAAGACCCTAACATGCCACTCCTGTTGAATATCGTTTATCCTTCAAAACTTAGTAACTTTATCTAAATTACTTTACTTTCTCTGAGCCCTTAGAACCCATTGAACATATCTATCAGTTTTAATTGCTAGATTGTCATCTGGTTGCCCTTATATTTCATCAATATACACTAACAAAAAGTTCTTAGGAATCATTTTCATGAAGGGGATCTTGTGTAAATATAAAGAAGGTTTCTTCAGAAACTCTTCAACAGCACCGTTTACAGGGCCAGGGTCCTACATATAATAAAAAAATTATATATACACGTGAATAAAAGAAATAAACAAACAAATATGGCAAAAAGAAAGATTAAGATGAACGTAATGCTCTATTCAGAACCATGACTTGCTTCCATTTTGAAGAATCCAACTCCAAAAGCTCCCTTTTGTGGGGACTTAAAGTGAAACAGTTGAGTAGAAGTTTCACCTGAATCACATAAACCACAGCATTGACAGTCAAGAAGCTTGGCCTCAGTCCATCTGTAGAAACAGCGCGTGCCTGTTTTACACATAAGAGTTGTAATCAAACCACTTTAATCCAAAACCACCCGCACAAAAGAAATCATATACATGGAGCACTTGAAATAAAATATAACCTGATAGTAAATTTCAGCCCAGAAAAGAACCAAGAGCGCATAGGTAGTGAAGAAGGCAAGACTCGGCATATCGAGCAAGATATGTTGGACAATCTGCCAAACAGAAAAAAAAAAAAAAAAATTAACTTAGCAGCTATTAAGAACAACTAAAATTAAGAAAATGGCACCGACGATAGAATTCAACCTTTGGATGCAGCTTCTGCACTTGCCGGCGGAACACAAACACTGCTGATCGAACTACAAGAATATCAAAAAGATATAAATAAGTAAACACTTGCACACAACGCATAATCATGAATGCAATTAAAATCCCGAAACTGAACCAGCCACGATAAATAAGATACAAACCTCCATTGACAACAAAATTAAGAAAGTGGAATACTTTCTGCGTGGTCCAACCGTACTCCGGCACTCTCAATTGTATCCGAATCAATTGAACCTGGTATTGAATAAATACACCAAATTAACATATAAATCTTCACCAAATTTCTACATTAATCTTGAAATTAACAACAGTACACGATAGAATTAAACATAAACACACACACAACTCTAAGGTGCTCGTATATTTTCCTTCAATTCGAAGCAACCAAATGAAAACTACAAATCCTAGCATTCAAGATTCAGAATTCAGCTCGACAAATTAAAATCGTCACTTACAGATAACAGATGTATAAATATATACATACATATATACAGATAGATAAAGATATACATAGAGATTGAGATAAATACCAGGGCAACGATAGCGACGAGACCGTAGAGAATAGCAAGGGCATGAAATATGCGGTCTTGCCAAATAGGGGAGGCATTGATGTCGTGCCACCAACTCGATGCGTCTCTCAGGTTGTAAGCTATCACCGCCGACTCCACCACCCCGACTCCGCCGCCGCCGCTACGCGCCATTCAAACCTCCACCAATTCCTACTTTTTTATTTAGTTTTTTTTACCAATTTATTGCTAATATTAATACGTAATTATACAATTATTACTCACTTTTCTGAATCCTAAAACCGAAGAGGTTGTCTGAGAATTGAGAAACGATACTGCAATCGCCCCGCGAGAAAGCGAAGAAGAAAGAGAGAAGGAACCAATCAAAATCCAAACCAATTTAAATTCAATCGCCAACTCTTTTTTCTTCTTTATTTTCCTTTTCTTTTATTCTCCTCACGTGAAACTGAAAATCACAAAACGGCCGGCAAAAATAGGAGAATCCGAGCCCGAAGCGGAGGTGTGGGTTGTTGGGCTTTTTACATTTATGGGCTTGGTGCTGTTGCTTCTCCAACTTCGATTTATTAGGCCCTTATCTATCTTTTCAATCGTATTACACGCGTGACGCGTACGCTCGTCCTGCGGAAACGCCAGATTGTAGACGCTTGCGGGATTGCCACCTCCATCCTAAACGGCCATTTAATATCTTATGATACCTATCCAATGCTATTTTACAGAGCATCCTCTTCGAATCTACTTTACGAGGATTCTCTCCGGATCTAGGATTTTATCCATCTCTACATTTTAACTGTTCATCATATTTTGTGCAATTAATTTTCGTCAGATATTATTTGTGTTTAATTTTAAATAAAAAAATCAAATGATTTCCTATCGTATGGTACACGATGAATGACTAAGATATGAAGATCCACACAAAAGTACATCCGGCTAAGATCCAATCCATATTATAGCATCTTTAGATTTCAAAATGTTTATGCTAGCATTAACAATATAAAAAATGTAATAATATTTCAACTGATAAATGAAATTTAATATGAATTGACAGCGTTCACCTTTTTGCCAGATTTACAGCACTTCATAACTTCATCTTTTATAATTAATTATTGAATGTTATATCCTTTTAATTCTATTATTATTTTTGTTTTAAAACATTTATTATGACTGCTTTATGTAATAGTAATTAAATATACGCATTGAAGAACAAAATATTTAAAGATATTAAAATGTCATTGTCTAATTTCAATTTTATGTTTAAGATTTTACATTTATTTTAAACTACTTTAAAATAACCAAAACGAATACACAGTTTTCTTTCTCATTTCGTTCCTTCTCATCCTCGTACCAAGCAAGTTTAAGTTAAGCGCCCCTACATGGGTACATTTAGGCTACTTCGGTAGAATTGGACGATAGGACCAAATATGTATTAAAGTATGATAGTCGCGTTTAAGCTTTATGTCACGCACATTTTGGAAGAAATTGACACTAAAATTAAAGTTTATACCTCAAATAATGATAAAAATGGTCAAACCCAACATTCTAAGTTTGACCGTCCAGGTAGTACCAAATGAGTAAATGAAGTTTTGGGGGCATGTGGCCAACTGACGGATTTTGAACGGTCAAAAGAGTAGAAGAAGCCCAATTGGTGTTATTGTCACACTAAATTTCAGCTTGTCATCTAAAGTATGTTTGCATATCATCAATTCAATGCATACACAACTCACCAAGTGAAAACCTTTCTGTTGTTTCATGTCTTGAAAACTTCGTTTCGGGCACATTATTGCATATACTATATAACTTTTAAATGGTTTTACTCATTGCAAGATCATTTGGCTCGACGAATAAGGTGACACACATGTTGGCTAGATTGGGTTTACCTCTCAATACTCCGATAGCTTGATTCGAGGAATCTCCTAATGTAATAATAGACCTTTTAATTGAAGATAGTAATCATAAGTAATCTCTCATGGTGCGGAATACTTTTTTTCCCTTCGTCCATGTTAAATCCTTGACAAAGTTTTTGTTAAGAACCACTGTATGCACCTATTTTGTTTTTACGTATTTCAATCTTCTATCCATGAGTATCGTACATTTACTAAAAAAATCTTATTTTTCTTGAAAATGTAGTGTTTCTTATTTAAATGCATTCAAAAATTGTAGAAAGGGTTGATCTGACACACAACTAATCAATATTGATACTATCTGGAATCTAATTTAATTCGGTGCGATGTGAACTTTTACATTCTTTAACAAAAAAAAAATCATGAATTGATAAATTGTAAGTCCATTAAAGACCCGTCATCCGCACAACATTTCTCACAAAGTAACGAGGACCGTATGTATTTGGAGGCCGATCATCTAACTGTAAACACCAACAGTTGTGCAAAGTAAAACTTGTTCTAATCAATTAACTCTACCGAGCATCTTTTGCTTGCGACGGTGTCTATCAAGCCATAAAAAAAAACAAGATCTCTTCTGCATTGGGATCCTGGGGGAGACACAAGGCCCATCCCACGCCCAAATTATAATAAATAAAAAATAGAGCATCCAATGTCTCTTGGTCCCTAAATTAGTGAGAGTTCTTCTTCTATTTTCGCTACAGTAGTTTTTATGGAATTTTAACGAAAAACTCTCTGTACTATTTATTTTAACAAAAAAAAATCATATTTTTACATTAAAAAGTCAATCTTGATACTATTTATTTTACCTTTTATTTTATCCTTATCATTAAAATCTAAAGTTTTCAACTTTTTTTTTTTTTTTTTATTACTTTTGCTTAGTTTTTATTCCTTGTGTTGTGTCAAAAACCAAATAAAGCAGCAGAGGGTAGAGAAGCTAAAAGTGGACTATTTTCAGCGGGTCCAAAGCCTTTACGTTGTCTGCAAGAATCAATAGTTTCCTGAAAAAGTGAAAGACCGACTGACCGCGACCTGACTTTCCTTCCTTCCCTCCCCCACTCACTGCAGTCTGTGTACGACCCTCAGTCACTCTCTGCAACTCGCAAGGTCCTCAAAACAGGCAAAAGCAAGCTCACCCACCCACGCATTCATTCATTCATTCATTCTAGATAGAGAGAGAGAGAGAGAACGATTGAGTGAAATTCTACATCAACACATTGAGTTGCATGATATTATCACCCCCAATTTCCATGGATTACGAAAGGATCCAAAAACCTCAGGTGCCTCTCTCTCCTTTTTTTTTTTTTTCAGCACAATCAATGTGTTCGTTTTTTTTCAACTTTTTACTTCTCACATTCCATCGTTTTCAAATTTATTGTGCAAAATCCAACATTTCATTATCTTATCTCAAAAACCCATCATTTTTCTCGAATTTGCTTCAAAGATTTTAGCTTTCTCATTTCTTGGGTTTAAAAACAAAGACCCATTTTTGGGTTTATCGGATTGCTTATTGGGGATTTGAAAGTGCAGGTGGGAGGTGGGGGATTTTCACCAGGGAAGCTGAGGAGTATGCTACTGGGAGTGGAGAAGAAGAGGAAGGAAAAGGAGGATTCTGAATCTGCTTTCACTCTGAGATCTCAGCCTCCTGACTTTGATGATCAAGCTGGTTAGCTCTTAATTTTTCCCTTTTTTAATTAATCAGTGATTATTTGAATCTTAGATTTCTTAGTCTCTGAATTAAGCTACTGGGTCAGTGGCGATTCCGGTTTAGTAGAAAGTAGTCAAATTTCGTATTTTATCGGGAAACAAACAGAAAGTAGTCAACGATTGCTTGATGTATTTGTACCAACCTAACTAAACTTAAAACTTTGTCATTTCAGTTGGGTTGCTGCGGAAAAAAAAAAAACTTTGATGTTCTTACCCTTTTGACTGGATTCTTGCAGGGGGTGGTGGTTCTGATGACTGTAAAGATGTAGATGTTGTGAGTGTTCTTCCCAAATGCTCGACTTCGAATGCTGCCGACTCATTAGGCCCGAAGATGGCTGGTGACCGGCGATTGAAGGATAGCACATTAGTCAATTCAAGAATTAGGAACCAAGAAGACCCTTCATTAGATTATGATAGTGGGCATGATGCAATGGGTGTGTCCTCATCCATATTTGAGTTTCAGAAGGCAGAGCGTGCCCCACAAAGGGTGCCTCTTGCGCCGTTCTCCAAACCAGCACCGTCCAAATGGGATGATGCTCAGAAATGGATAGCAAGCCCAACTTCGAACCGGCCAAAGATGGGGCAGGCTCAAATGCAGGTTGGGCAAGGAGTTGGATCGCGAAAGGCTGGTAGCTTTGGTTATGGGAGTAAACAATTGAGCACAAAGGTTGTTGTTGAAGTTCCAGATCAAAAAGTAGATATTTTTGAAGAACCAGATACGAAGCGAATTGACACAAATCAATCTAAGATGGAAAGTGGAGGGCAGAAGTGTGTAAGTTGGGAGCCTGATCCATACCCCATTGCCGATTCATATGGCAAATCAGTGCTCATGGTTGAGAACTCTGTCGGAGAGTCAGCAAGTAAGAATTTGGTTTTCTTGTTTTGTTCAGTTGAGATTCTTGTTTCATGACTGCATCATTATTTATAGAATAAGATTTTCAGCACTATAAATCAAGCTAATCCTAGCGGGAATTTCACTTGGTTCAGTGTTCTAGAATGTTTTTTTACACTTTCGGTCGCACAGATCTTCGATACAACTTTTTGATACATTACCATTTTTTTATTGAAATCCATGCTTACTAGGAACTGAGTCGGTTTCCACCATGTCCTTACTGGCGTCTGGTGTGGGAAATTATTTGAAGAACGATGGGTTTGTTCTTGTGTTATATCATATCGTTAAGTGAGGCCTACCAGAAAGTAACTGCTTTTATAATTGTTTATAACACTCACCGATCTTCCTGCCTTCTCGTAAATTAACTTTACAAAGTGAGCTTTATGCTACAATTTGGAACTAACTAGCGGCACAATTTGCATATGATTTTCGCAGTCAATCTTAGCCAGCATGATTCTTCTACAGCGTTTCATGGAACAACAACATTTATTCCTCCTCCTTCAACCGCAAGATCTGTCTCAATGAGAGATATGGGTACAGAGATGACGCCTATTGCTAGCCAGGAACCCTCCAGGACTGGAACTCCAGTGGGGGCAACAACACCGATTCGCAGTCCTACTAATTCAAGGCCATCAACTCCTAGCAGAGCTGCACAAGCTTCATCTCCAATCAACCAGAATCCTAACAAGGAGTTGTCTGAAAAGGAGTTACAAATGAAAACCAGGAGAGAGATAATGGTTCTTGGGACACAGTTGGGTAAGATGAACATCGCTGCTTGGGCTAGCAAAGAGGAGGATAAGGGTGCATCCACGTCACAGAAAACTACACCAGAAGAACAACCGGGGAAAAGCATTGTTGAGACACGTGCAGCAGCATGGGAAGAAGCTGAGAAAGCCAAGTATATGGCTAGGTTAATTCACATCCCCTTCTTTTGTTTCTTTTTTGTACAGTATCCATCTCTTACCACTGTAACTGGATTGTTAGATAATGACACTCGATTTTTAGGGACAATTGTTATTTATGCTGCATTTTCAAATTGTGGAATGATCATGTGTCCATGACTGCAATTATCCAGGTTCAAGCGTGAAGAGATGAAAATACAAGCTTGGGAAAATCATCAGAAAGCAAAAACAGAAGCTGAGATGAGGAAAATCGAGGTACTTATAGTAGCTTTCTGTTGGAAATCTTCTTGTTGTGGCAGCCATTCTCTATTTCTAATCTTGTATTATATTTTCTCTTTTCATTATGTTTAAGAAAATATTATCAAGTAATATCCAAACTTCCGTTAGACAACAAGATAATAGCCAAATTAGGTCACCCGTGTTGGATTAATCTCTAAAATTGTAAGATTATAGCCAACCTGGAACATTAAGACTGACCATGCTAAACTGCAAGACATTGGCTCCTGATGAAGAGTTCCACTCTCTAGGGCTTCTTCGGTTCTTCCCCTAAATTCCTTGAGTACTTGCTTATTGTGACATAATGCAATGTGGACGTGTTGTGTGAGAACTTTAGGTCTTTCTTTTCATAACTAAAAAATGTGAACAGTAGGCCAGCCTTCTATCTGGTTGAGTATCGAAAACATAGAAAACCCTCAACTTCAGATACTTATAAGCAAAACTTTGAACTTCTAATCTATGAATTCCCTTGGAACCTATGCAGTTTATTGAAAGTAACATTTGTTGCTTCCAGGTAGAGGTTGAAAGGATAAGAGGACGCGCTAATGGCAAGCTTATGAATAAGTTGGCAGCTGCAAGACATAAGGCTCAAGAAAAGCGAGCAGCAGCGGAGGCCAGGAGAAACCGGCAAGCAGCGAAAACAGAACATCAAGCAGAGTACATTCGCAAAACCGGTCGCATCCCGTCCTCGTTTTGGTGTTGGGGTTGGTGCTCTTGATATTGGAACCACATTCTGCAAATGTATGTCCATGTTAATGTAAAAACCTAAAAACTTGATTTGGCTTAACCTATGAAAGTCGGAAAGTAAAGTACTCAAGTGTAATTATCGTCAACATGGCGAAGGGGTAATGCTTGCTTAAAATATTTTGTTTGTTCTTTCCACCTAAGAAGAGTAATATTGGTCTTTCACATTCTGTTTTACGAATGTGGATTCTGATTAAAAAAGGACTTTCCACCAATTCACCGAGTTCGGAATCCTGATCGTTCAAATTTGATCTAACGATTACAAACATGAAATCTTTTTAAAGTTGTTGGATCAAAATTGCACGGTCTGCATTGCGAACTTGATGGATTTGGTGGAAAGGAATCCGGTCATTATAAAAATGGTTTTCACAGTGGTTGTGGGACCCAGGAAGGGATAAAAAGGTAAACAGCCAGTTTACGATTTATTACTTGCCTTCCGAAGTGAACCAAACACAAACGAAACCACTTTGCCAAACAAAAACTTAAGTATCTATGTCACAAAATAACAAACACGGATGTCACCTAAGGTACTTACCAAAATAATTACAATGACATGAGTGTCTCCTTGGCTTGGCTGGAATTAAAATTATTTCGATTTTTAATTTTTTATGCGTTTGCAAAATATGAGTATTAGGGTTGTTTTGATTTTTGACTTACCTTAGAATATGCGGGATAAAAAAAATATGTAGATTTCACATGAAGTTTAGTGATCCAATAAGTAAAACGATCATAAACTGCATTATTTAACTATCACGGGGTAACCAGTACTTGGGAACGAATTCTATATCCATATTTTGCGTGACACATCCTGATTTAATTTTTGGCGCTGATGAATCACATGATGATGTCTAGGAGGAGGCTGAAGTGCCTCTATGAGTCCTCCATGCCCCTTCAGGATGGACTGTCATGGTGATGTTACTAGCTGGTTCATTTTTTGAAGGAAAAAAAAATTGCATTGTTTAAGGAGAGTATTTGAATTATGATTACTTGGCATACACGTAACACATTTAAATTTACTCCATAATATGAGTATTCGAATTATCTCTTTCATTATTTTGGACCTTCCATTTGCTTACATATGAGTATGACATTCTACACATTTACCTATGGAATAAAAAAATAATTGTGGCTATCACGTTAGGGTTTAAAATCGATAACTTATTTGCACTTAGACTAATATTAGAAGACTAATGAATTCGATTCTCATTTTCACTTGACAATTAATAATTTTTTTCTTTCTAAATAAGTAAACACGTTACTCTTTATGTACACAATTTCTATTCATAACTTCAACTATTTCAAATACATAAACATATGCAAACGAAATCGGAAAGTGTCCTCTTAGGTCTAGAAAAAATAGAGTGGGTGTGGTGAGAAATATGTCCAATATAAAGGACCCCAGTATAAACACCCTATTGCAAATTTTATCATACTATCAAATTTTTATTTCTTTTAAATAAATAAAAAAAACCAGGGCTTAGCTTACATCCTCATCATCATATCATACCCCCAAACACTTCCTCGTTCTCTCAATCTCTCTCTCTTTCTCAGATCTTTGTGGCGGCTCTTCTTCAAGATTGGATCGGCCTCTCCCTTTCTCTCTCTCTCCCTATCTTGGAATCGATCGGATTCCGTCACGGTCCGCCGGCGTCTCAACCCAATAGTCGCCATGGTAGTCGGCGCACAACCGCAGCCGCAACCACAACAGCAGCAGCAGCAGCAGCTACAACAGAAGCCGCCGCAGCAACCGGAAACTTCGGCTGAAGAGGAGGCCTTGAAGAGGAACACCGATTGCGTCTACTTTCTCGCCTCGCCTCTTACCTGCAAAAAGGTTTGCCCTTTGTCTTGATTTGAGTTTTGTTCTGGGTATCCTCGCTTTCAATTTTAGGGTTTTAGGTTTTCGTTTCTGGTAAGATCTTTTTGGGATGGGCCGAAATTGTGGTGTAATTTCGGCTATAAGTTTCAGATTTACGTTTTTTCATGCATTGGAATTAGGGTTTCTGGATATGTTTGATGCAATGAATTTCTTTAGGTTAAAGTATGTTCCTTTGGGTAATCTTGATTTTCCTATAGTCTTAAAGAAAATGATAAAACGATTGTCTCAAATTTATTTGTATAGCGCAAGGCCTTATATGTTAAATTGCTGCTAGAATATGTATGTGATAAGTTTCAATGTTAGAATCAATCATGGTTTCGAGACCTTGAAATCTCGATGAGCTTGCTTTAAGGGCTGATTTAATTAATCTATGAGAAGCCTGATTTCGAGCGAATTTATGTTAGAACATGGTTCTTGCAGCTCAAAATTTATCCCCTTTTAAATAGTTTGGCGCGTGTTACATTTTTTCATTAGCCTGCTTGATTGCATCGTCTCTGTTACTTTTGATTCTGAGCTGGGAAAAGTTAGTTTGTTACATAATATGGAGTGTACTTCAGTCTCTTTATGTCACAGGGTATGCTGTCTTTTTTATTTATTTGTTTTTTTTTTCACTTTAGTTTTTGGTGGTTATCATTCGTTACATGGCTTAGTGGATTCCTTTGTTTGTTATTTGAAGTGTCTTATGTAAAGTCAAAAAGCATGTTTCTGTACTAACATACCATCAGTACCAGTACTGGTTTGATTTCCATCGTGCTAACTTCATTGATGCCCTATTGACAGGGAAGTGAATGTGAATACAGACACAGTGAGTATGCCCGGGTCAACCCCAGGGATTGCTGGTACTGGTTGAATGGCAGTTGCTTGAATTTGAAATGCGCGTTTCGGCATCCAGTAAGTCTCTTCTCTCTCTTATTTTATTTCATGTTTAAACCTGTATAAGAACGTTCCTTCTTGCCTGTTACCCACCACTACTTTTATCTGACATTGTTTCTGACCATCTATTTTTCCTGTACAGCCGCTTGATGGCTTGTTAGGAAGCCCGGCAGCAAATTCTGCTGGACCTTCTTTGCCTCTATCACATCCTGTGGCTACGCCTACAACGCCTGCAACTCATGCTGCTTTTAACCCAAGTAAACAAGCAGTCCCCTGTATTTTCTTCCAAAAGGGACAATGTTTAAAGGGTGACAGATGTGCCTTCTCTCATGGACCAAATCCTATGGCTAGTAGTAAAGTTCTACAGACACCAGCTGCTGCCCACGGTACTGAGCCTTCAGGCCTTAAGAAGGCTTTCGGTGGCCTTCAAAAGTGCACTCAAGAGTTGAAGGTTCCCAAGGTAAGTGCCACGAAGTCTGTTGGAGTGCCTCCTGAAGCCAAACCTGCTCCAAAATTTCCGACTGCTCCAATTAGAAATGGAGTTAGCATTGAGAGGAATGTACCATCAACTAAAGCATTGGATGATGAGGCTCTCAGATACAAGGCAACTAGTGTTCCGCCTGTTATCAACGGAGGCTCTACAAGTCAGGCCAATCATTTGCTTCAGGCTCATGTTTCAGACTATCATGGTTTTCAAAATGGGAAGGATGCTGATGAGCATTTGAGGGAGTCTTCTCCTGGATTTGATGTTCTTGTAGATGATGAGCACGGAGATTCTGATTACTACCACGGCGAAGAACGGTTTGGCAGAACAAGAGGTCATGAGGGAAGGAACTTGAATTCTGTGAACGAATATGATTTGGACCGTCCCGTTGATTACACTTCAATGGCTGATGTCGATCAAGAAAGGTTTTGTGACCCATATGACCCTTATGATCGCATGCAAGGGCAGTACGCATGGGACCAGCATAGGGTTTCATCTGAGAGACAATTAGTGGGTCCTGCTCGTCTTGAGAGGAGGGGTTATCGCAAATCTGAGAGTCCGGAGAACATTGATGAGTTAGATCTGAGACATCGTTTATCCAAGCATAGGAGGGTAAACGGTCTGAGATCCATTGTCAGCCATGATTATGCAGTAGACGGCCATGTTGAGGAGCGGAACAACCGTCCTCGTAGGGATTCACAGCAGTTGCCCCCACACGAGGGCTCCCGTAGTAGTCGTCTTCATGGTAGAATAAAGATTCCAGACGGGTCTTCTCCCGTCAATGGTAGTGACTTGCGCCAAGAAAGGGAAGTTGACAGAGCTAGAAGTAGAGGCAGATTGTCACCAGGGAGGCCACAGATATCCTCCCACCAAAGAAGGCTTCGAGACAGAATAAAGGGAAGGGTGGAAGAGGACTACGCTAATGAGAGGAGAAATTTTGGCGCTTCTCGTGTTAGGGGAGATATAATGGATGATCGAGGTGATGACTTTTCTCGTCCAAAGCGTCTTCCAGAGCTGAAAGTTGTGAAAGATGCAGAAAATAAGGAGCAATCTTACCTTGGAAAACGGAAAAGTGTGATGGATAATTATCAACAAGCGGAAGGTGATCTTTCATTTGAAGGGCCAAAGCCTCTCAGTGAAATTCTGAAGAGGAAAAGAGAAGCTGAAGCAGCAGCTTCTGGAAGCAGGAAATCATCTGCCCACAATAAACGAGGCAATAATCAGAGAGAAAGCAGGGAGAGCGATCAAGGCGACTCCCAGACTGCGGTTACAGAGGTGAATAACAGTCTGCCCACTGCGGCGAAGGAAGAGCCCAAGTTTGCAACGGCTGATGCGGTTGGAACTGAAGATGAGAAAATTGACGTGGTTCATGGTCAGTCTTCAGAAGGACATGAGGCTGGAGAGGTCGAGGCTGAAGAGGGTATGATTTATGAGGAGGAAAACGAAATCGAAGGTGAAGATCAGAGGGAAGGAGAGTATGATTACGAGCAGGGGGACGAGGGTGACTATAATTATGAAGGTGAAAATGCAGAGGGCGAAGAGGAATACCTGGAAGAAGATGAAGACGGTGATGACTTTGCTAAGAAGATTGGTGTCGTGTTTTCGTGATTGGGCGAAGGGAAAGATGGAAAAGCAACGGAACGAGGATGACGGCTCTTCCATAAATAGTGTGGAGGACTTTCCAAACCTAATTTAGCAGAATTAGGGATTAGCAGGCCTTTTTGCCCTCTGTTATGACAATCCAAACATTTTCGTTCTACTTACATTCTGATTTAATGGGATTTTTTCCCTTTGTGCTTGAGGCATTTTGCTGTGCTTGTTTGTTGCCTTGCGTGGGTTGACAACTTTTTTTTTTTTGGGTGAACGGGGATTACAACCCAGTGAGAGCTGATCTAATTCAAATGGAAGGTTCATCAAATACAAGAACACCGATATCCATATTATAACTCCAGTTAGCCAACTGATCCGTAAATTTTGAGATTACAAGGGATCGAGCAAATTTTGACCTATTTTAGCAAATATAAACCAGGTGGTGTTATGCAGCACTTGAATTGCTTCTTCAACATTGTTACACACATACTTAAACAGAGCAATTTGACTCGCTCTGAGATCCTGAACCTCATCAATGTAAACAAAATCCATTTGATCACGCACAAATTTTCCATGCCTCAGACGATGACGATGAAGATCAATTACAAAATCAGCCATATCAAATTCACCATTTTCCATCTTCATTTTTTTAATAAGCCTGAAAAACATCGTAGGTTACTTCTCTCGTCTGCAATGCAATGGATCTTGAGCCTCTAAAATCTCAATTGACCGGGACTAAGTGTTCCAGCATCCACGAATCGATCAAGCCTCAAGGCATGAATTACTGAGTGTTCCATCAAGCATCATCAAGAACTTATGAAATGTTATTACAAGAGGGTAAGATTTGGGAGAAATATCCTGAAATGAATCCTTGATATCCTTGAATTGAGATTCCTCCTCATCAAAATCAGCCATATCAATCAAACTTTTCTCGGTTGAATCGCTTCCACCACATGCAAAACTGTAGACAACCAAAAGTTCAGTAGCATCGCTATTCCATGTTATGCTTCAAGAATAATGGTTGTCGTGTGATTGACATATAATCAGCTAGAGTCACAAAAAAGATATAAAAAGCAGTATATTTTTTTGTTGAATAATCCACAAACCTTTTCAAGTGTAGAACATGTTGCTTCACGGTCACAAGAATCTGGCGTAGATTTCTTTCCTGAGTAGCTGAAGAACTCTGCTCAACAGTGCTATTTTTACTACCAAGGCATCCTTGCTCTGCCAACTGAAAACATTGTTCTTTTTGAAATCATTTCATGGTTAAAACTTAAAACTGTGGTTTTCCCTGTTCCCAACCGTCCCAAGTATAAAGGTACTTCTCTGGTAAAGGATAATCTCCATTCCCTGGTCAGTAACTTCAAATGGAAGATCCAACTCTCTACCCTCGTGGTCAGACAACAAGTGATTCACAACACCAGATGACAAGGAGTACAACTTCATGAGCAACAAACTCTCGCTGACCTGTGAATTCTCAACATATCTTCTACCAAATCACTAATAAGTATATGACATGAATCTAATAACTTACTCGAAACTCCACGTTGATGTCCACTGGGTATTGTTTGACTTGGAAAACTACTTCGAAAAGGACATGTAAGAACCCAGGGTAAGCCTGACTGAAGGCTACGTCAAGTTCAACGTCAGTCAAAGACAATTAAAAAAACAAAAGGAAAAATATTAAACAAAATTTAAAAGTTTAAAGTTCAACAACAAACAACACATGTAAAATTCGTCGCAGGTGTGGAACACCAAAATTCGACTAAATCTTCGGAAATCTCAGGCACTGTCTTCCTTGAAGTTGCAAAATTTGATTACCATGCTGGTCCAATCATTATATTTAGATTGTCCAATAGCTAGTTGTAAACTAATTTTCCAATTGTGAGTTGGGCTAACCCCTTGAGCAATCAATTGGACCGCTGCCAATGAACTTAGAATAAGTTCACTGACAGTAACGGTTTCTCATTTTAGAAAATGAAAGAGTGGGAGAATATAGTAAGATCTGCAAGAATTATATATCGTAAGTCTTAATGAAAACAAGTGTTGAAACTCTTGATATTCATAATCCTCTAACTTAATGTCTTGAGAAATCCAAAAGACCATAGCTCCAAGTGTAGCAAAATCTATTCGGATGTCATAATTTGAAGTATCAGTGCAAGTCAATTCAAAAGCTTTGTTGTTGTATATGATGGAATCAACAGAAATATCAATAGAATAGTAGTGCTTGAATAGGCCTCTATACAAATAAATAAACAATTCACAATTTACACAAAACTACACAAACAAACCATCAAACAGAGAAAAAAAATTACCTAAGTATGGATTTAATAGAATGCATTCCATTGTGCCTACGGCTTAATTCGTGCATGCAATCTCGCAACGACCGAATAACTAGTCCAATGAAAAAAATTGCAGTGAAATATTCTTTTTTCAATAAATAAATAAATAAACCCACAAAAGAACAAATATAGAAAAGAATACCTCCTGTGGAAAAGAGGTCTCGGTGATGCTGGGAAGTTGGTTCGAACGCGGGTATCTCAGTGGAAGGAGTTGGTGGTGAAAACGGTGAGGACCGGTAGAACTTAGGGTTTGGGTTTGGATAAAATTACAAGGACGAAGCTTCAGATGATCGAGAAGAACTCGGCAGCGACCGCGGCAGGGATTGCTGCGATTGTTAAGCAATCGTACTATCATCGCCATTTTCTTTCCGATTGCTTCGATTTTTTTTTTCTTTTCAGATTTTCTATCTTTACGTAATCTTAATAATTTTTTAGATAGGATTTTGAGTAACACGTGTTGTCAAAGTGAGTAACTTTCCAGATTTCTTATCTTTATGTAATCTCAATAATTTTTTAAATAGGATTTTGAGTGACACATGTCGCTAAAGTGAGTAACTCTCCAGATTTCTTATCTTTATTTAATCTTTATAATTTTTCGAATAGGATTTCAAGTGCCACGTATTGAGATGTAATTGATTCTGCAAATTTTATATAAAATTTTTATCTACATGACACTTCTTATCTTCAGCTTTCAATGTTGTAGGAATAGTGTAGGTATTTATAGGAAAAAAAAATTAGAAATTTTTTTAAAATTTGTCTAAAAAAAAAATTCAAATTCCAACGATAACATGACAGAAGCATGACGTTAATTAGCTGTTGCTAGTTGGCATCATGCTGACACCAGGTAGCCGTTGACATTCAAATGGGCTGAGCTGGAGGATTGCAAAATGTCAAGCTTGACATTCTGGCGTTGGAAGGCTAGTTGGTTGGTTGGAAATGGCCAAGCCGCTGGCTTGATTTGGGGTTTGGGCCTGATGGGGCCCACAAATTCTTTGGCTTAATTCTTAGTTGAAGATGATTTTCGTGGCATTTCGAATTATTTTTAATCCTATAATCCTTTAGCCAGATTGCTTGATGATGATCTTCTAGCATATAGATGGTGCCGACCTCGAGTAGCTCCATCTATTTGCAATCCTTTGCCTTTTTAACTTTATTATTTAATATTGTAACTCTGGCTGGAAGATGGAAGATGACTTTGGCTGGCCATCGTCAGATTGTTATAAATCATTGCAATCAAGCAGATTACTTGTTTGTTTGGTTCAAAACAGAAAATTACAGTGACGAAATGAAGAAAATATTACATGTCATATCATACTTCCATCCTCTCAACGCCACATTCTGAGCAAAACTTGGAGGTTTGTATTTAGAACCACACATTCGTCGCATAACTTGACTGGATGGTATAATGGCATGAAAACACACACCACACTACAAAATTGTATAATTGTAAAATACAAAACCGCTTATAAACGAAATAATTTAAAATTAGCATTAGTTAAAAATACAAATTAATTTTGAAAAAAACACTTAAAACGCTTTCGACGCTAAGTAAGTAACTATTATCAGACACTCATTAGTTCACATAACAGGAACATTTCATTTTCCCACATCAAATGATATACTCGTAATCCCATAGCGATTTTCAGAAGGTCAGGCTAAGCCAGCCCGACCCAAAATTCTTGGGCTTGAGCATTCCGGATAATGTTGTTAAAATATTTGTATTGCTACTAAATCGCACGAGTTGGATGCGAGAAACTTATGAATACATTGATATATTTATGAATAGTATGTGATGGGTTCTATATATATATATATATGTATATATATATATATATATATATGCAAACTAAAATTCAGGTTTCAATCGAAAGAAAGAAATCCTAATGTTGTAACGTAGCAGACTACTTGAAACAGAGCATTTGCTCCCAAACGCTGAAATTAAATTTTGATCTGTACAGTTATACAACAGAAAACTTTGAAGTCGAATCAAGTTCAAGAGGCCGGTAATATTCTACGTAACCTTAAAGCTACCTTGCAGCCATTTGACCTGCATTTCCAGCCCGGAATCTGACAAAGCTTTCAAGGCTGACCGATATAACCTCCCATCCAACTCTGTCCCTTCCGCTTTCATATCTCTCAAAAGCTTCACCAGCTCATCAATCCGGCCCGTCTTGGAAAAAATTCCAACCATCATTCCAGCCAAAGCCTTGTCCAAAACACCCCCATGAACCCTAAACTCATGGTAATATTTCATACACATTTCATACTCCCCTGCCTTGTTGTAAGCACCTATAATCGTTGTGTAGCTTACCTTATCAGGCACTATCTTCCTTCGCTTCATTTCCGTCCAAATCCTCGAAACTTGCCTCAAATTCTTGTCCCTTCCATGCATATCCATCAAAGAATTGTATATCCATACGTTTGGCTTACACCCTCTTTCTTTCATTTTCGCCACGAGCCTCATTGCGTCTCTTGGCCTCCCCGTTTTCCCATACATCACAACCATGCTAGAATAAGCCACAACACATTTACCAAACCCCTTTTCCTCCATCTCCTCAAAAACCTTTTCTGCTTTCGAGTGAAGCCCTAGGCTGCAATAGACATTGATAATTGACGCATATGTCACTTGCCCTGGCTGGCAGCCCATCGACACCAACTCTTCGAAAACTTTAACTGCAGTCAGGAGCCGGTTTTTCCTAGAGAAGCCACTGACAACCGCACAACATATATTGTCCGAAACCCTGATATTCGCACCCTTCATCGCCTTAACTACCCCGAGAGTCTTCTCCGTCAACCCTTCTTCCACATACATTGATATCATTCTTAAAAACGGATTCGGATCCTTCAACATTTTCTTGCTCTCTCCTTCTTCAAAAAGCTCTTCAGCCACCTCCACTTCTCGAATGCTCGCAAAGGAACAAATCAGCACAGAGTAAATCTTCGAAGAGTCTAAAGGAACTCCACTCTTCGTCACATTTCGAAAAGTTTCAAGAGCTTCAAAAGGCCGTCCCAATTTGCACAGCGACTCGCATAAAATTCCGTATATTTGAGTTGAAAATGGTGCCAAATCTAATTCCCTACTTTTCAGCTCTTCAAACAATTCAACAACTTTTCTACAATCACCCTTTTTCAAATAAGCTTCCATGATCCGGCAATAACATCCAGAATTCGCAGCAACTCCATCGGATTCCATCCGTTCAAACACGGAAATCGTGCTCCTAAACATATGAAGCTCATTATATCCTCGCATCGCTGAATCAAAAGCCGGGACAGCGACGTCATTTCCATGCTCACTAAACACATCAAGCAAAGTCCTAACAATTTTGAACTTCCTAGCTCTAATGCAGCTAGTGACCAATCTAGAGCAAGTATAACCATCAGGCACTACATTATAATTCTTAAAATCCTCACAAACCAAAGTAAACAAACCCCATTTCTTGGAACGAATCAAATGCCTTATCAGCTGCTCCAATGTTGATTTGTTTGGTCTGAATTCGGCCTTCTTTCGCGCTTTCTCGTACTCTTCGTATGCGTAATCTTCGGTTTGAGGGTTTTGAAACAATCGACAGAGTAAGTTGTTTAAGTCATCGGCATCCGGCGACGGAGCTGGACATTTTTCTTGGGATTTTTGTAATTTTATGTCCAATTCAACGACTGGAAAATTGGTGGAGTTTACATTGAAAACTCTGTGATTACTGTAGCTGCTGGTGGGAAGATTGGAAGAGAATAAATTGGTTTTGAATGATGCAATGAAGTTGAATTTGTGGGGATTTTTGGATGAAATTACGCGAGCAGAAGACCAGTCTGCTGAAGTTGCAGCAGAGCTGGCGAGGGACATTGGAGGAGATAAGGCCGTTGAAGGCTTGAATGAAATGAGTGGGGCGGAGACTGTGCATCTGTAAATAAATAAATATATATATTATCCCAAACTGGATTTTTTGCCATGCGTGTAAATCATATGAGCCACTCGTAATGCGACACTTGGAAAATTCAAGGACGTAGAGATATATCTGTTAAAACAAAGGCCACGTAACGTCCAGTGACACAGGGATAGAATCCTCTTCGGATTTCTTCTAGAACACGTGTCTTCTTTTTATTTCTTTCATACGGATCCTCCGGACCTTTCAATCATGTCCATTCAACTGAAATCCAGTTCATTCAACCGAAAAGCGAACAGTAAAAATAAAAATAAAAATAAAAAAACCATCTGATGACCTTAACGTCATCGGAATGAGAAGAAGCTGCAATGGTATCAGCGGCCTTGGATCCTCCGCCTCGAGATCTGCAGAGATGGTGTTGGCCGTGAGAGGGTTGAGAGGGGCGCGGATGTTGGAGGAGACGACGACGTGATGTTGTCAGAATTGTATTTGGGATTGATGAAGCAAAACCGCAGAGAAAAATTGAAGAAGAAGAAGAAGCAACCAAACCGCCGAGAAGAAAGAAGAAGAAGATACATGTTGTGGGAGGAACCAAGTGGAAGAGATCCGAAGAGGATCCTATTTCCATAACACAACCATAGAGTACAAAAATTATTTTATATTTAATCAAAATGAATCCCGTGTCACACATTTTAATGTGGCGTTTTTGTTACTACTAATGGGAGATTCGTAATGAGTGTTCTGGTTTTGGGTGTAAAGGTGAATATTTTTTAAGTTAAAAGTCATTTGTCACACTAATGCATATAAACAAATTATATGAATCAAATGACGATTTTCAAAGAAAAACATACACATTTATCTTTTATACACCATATCTGTAGTCACATTTGGTCTTCGATCTTTCTGATTCAGAAGGAGAGGCAGCTGAGGATCGACCCCGTAAAAAATCGAAGATATACTTTGGTAGTGATGATGAAGGCGAGAGAGAAGAAAGTAAGAAGAAACTGGCAAGAAAGAAAGGCAAGAAGGAAAGGAGGCAAAAAATAGCCATCAAATGTTAATGTATATGTAAGTGCTTAAGCGCTAATTAGCAGCTACTTAATCCGAAGCTAATCACCCGTAAGAACTTGACGCTTCTTTTTATATAAATTCACAAATGATAAAGTAGAATTGCAAAGGTTCAAAATTTATTAATTGGATTGAAATGTAACAACGATGTGTTAACTTGCACAACAAGTTATTTTCTTCTTTCAAAAACGTCTCAAATTCAAAACAACAGATGAACAAAGTGAGCCTTTGAACAGAGTCAGAGCCTCAAAAACTCAATTCTCGTCGCTCCCGAATAGCTTGACCCTCGACAAAGGCTTCCTCAAGTAGCCATCCACCTCGAACTTCTTCGGTGAAAGCTGCCGGTACCTCTCAAACTGCTCCGTCGCCTCTGCATTCCGATCAAGCAAACTGTAAATCATCCCACGGCAAAAGTACGGCCGGAAGTCTTTTGGGTCTTCCTTTACCAATTCATTGTAGCTATTCAATGCGCCCTCCACGTTCTTCTGCAAGAACTGAACCTGCGCCATTATCAATTTAACGTCCCGAGCCTCCTTGGCCTTGTTCTCCTCCTCCGCAACCTGCAATGCGTCCTCCAACCGCTTGATCACGGCCTCGCCTTCGCCACAGCGGTCCATCAGCAGGGCGTTCTCGAACAACGCCTCGAAGGACAAGGGGTTCGCGGCGAGTATTTCCTCGAACACTTGGCGGGCGCTTTCGTTTTCGCCCATTTCGCTGAGAACCCTGGCCATCATGAACTTCCACTCGGTATTGGAGGGCTGCGCCTCGACCAAGCGCTGCAGGATCTTGAGCGCCTCGTCGTCCTCGCTGTTTTCGAGCTTCTGCTGCAGAAGCGATTTCAGGGCACCGATGGCTTCCGAATTCGAACCCAGGAAGTCGGACAATGGCGATGAGGATTGGTTGTTCTCGTTATCTGTGACCTGGGTCGGCGCTTCTTCGGTCAATGTCGGCGGAGGTTCGGCTATGGCGAGCAAAGTCGATGACTTGGTGGTGAACACGGCGGCGGTGACTCCGATGAGAATGGCGGTTTTGGCGTAATGTTTAAGAGTTTGAAGAATCGGGCTTGGGTTGTTGTGGGTGTTACCTGGGAGGAGGGGTCGGTGGTGGTGGGCGGCGGAGGAGGCTGTGACTTTGAGGGCAGGGACATTGTGGGAATTGTGGGAATGGGAAGGGTCAAAACGGAGAAGGGAAGGTTGGGTTGGTTTACTGGGAATGAGTTTGTATTGGAAGAGAGATGAGGATGTAAAGAAGGAGGAGGAAGCGAGAGTGGAGGAGGAGTTCATGGTTGAGCCGGCGGGTGAGGAGTGGCGGAGATGACAAGGTTTGGGAGGTTTTGTTTGGGGTTTCCGTGGTAGGTGGGGGAGGAGTCAGAATGCGACTTTTACTCTTAGTGACGGTTGGTGTGGTTAATCTTGGATGTGTCACTTTTTAATTGTTTTTGAATAACGTGTTGAATTTTTTTTTTTTTTTTTTATAGTTCAAAATTTAGGTCTCGTTCTTTTTTTGTTTGATTATAAATTACACCGACTTTTAAAAGTAGTCATCGGTTTGTTAATTTCAAATTTCATTTGATACTAATTTATTCGATCATTTACAATTTTTTCACATTGCATTGTGAAATTTTAAAATTATATTAACTTATGTCTGTTGTAATCTTATAAGCTATTTAATGTGTGGATGGTCAACCCACTATAACTCTACATGTTTGTTTACTAATTCACTTGCTGCCTCATCCTTCCATATAAAATCACACACAAAAACACAAAGCCTTACAGCTGAAAAGAAAGAAGGAAAAAGAGAGAAACCACAAGGCTCACAGCAAAGAGAAGAAAAAGAGAGGAGAGAATAGAGATAATTAATTTTATTATTTCAGATTATAAATAAAAGCATCACTGCTGATCCGAGGATGTACTTCAGTCACACTAATTGTAGAGAAACCTCGTAAATTTTGTGTCTTATTTATTAATTTATTCCATTGCACACACCGTCGATTTTACAACAATGTCTTCTATTTATTTAATTGTATGATTATCTGCCAAATTGATGATGGGGGACTCATTTCGGGGTTGCATGGAAGCCACATTTAGCACTGACTGAGACTAAAGCATGAGGGCGGTTGTCGTTTTGGCACTATGGCTTTCGCATTAATTCAGAAGTAGGTCTTGGGTCAAAAGCAAAGCCTACTTTTGAATAATGCCATGGGGGCAATCCTGAGCTTGAACAAATGTCTAGTATTGTTGGATCGTCTGGGCCGTATATGTTCCTCCGGTCTATGGCACCTTGCAGAACAAAAGGAACAATGTTTTCTTAGGGTGTTCGAGGGAGAGAAGGGTTGGTGGTGGTTAAGGTAATGAAGAAGGAGACCGAGAAGAACATGTCGTTATCATTGTGTTCTTTGAACAATGTAGGCATGAAAGACTAGTAATGATCGATGCTTTAGTTTTGCAACTCCCCTGCGTTAATCTTGTAGATTTTTGCTAGTTTTTTCAATACAAATCGATCATCATTCAGTACTACATTATTGCAATGCATTTTTTCTTTGCTGAATATCTACGATTTAAGGGCCTTTCTCTGACCTAGTCATCTGCAATAAACTGCTCCTTCTCAACTTATTTTTGCTGTGCTCTTGTTGTGCGGTAAAGAAGGCTGTAGCTCCAGTCCTTGTAGATTTGAGTGTGTAAATGGTATTATATCTTGCTATGTTACAAAAGACAGAAGCGGGTTATACAATTATGATATTACTTCTTGCTATGGATCAAAAGATAGTAGACACTAACGAAGCATTGTTCATTTTTGTCCGTAGGAAGACCTTGTTCATTCCTGTCTATATATTTTGAAATGATTTTTTTTTTCTCAATTCAAAGTAGGGTAATCAACAAAAGTTGATAAAAAGATAATAATACAGAGGGATATGAGGAAATTAATTGCTATCTCTATAAATATTTTCTGTTTTTCTGATGACTTGGGTGTGGAATCAAGCTGGCTTCCATTCGTTAAAATAAAAAAAAATTACTTGTATCTCCAAATTTTGACTCATTAAAGTAATAGAATGTGAAGTCCCGTCCTCCGAATTCACTATACAATCATTGTATCTCGTAATTCGATAATTTATTATTATTTTTGTTTTTTTAGTTAGTTAGTTACAATTTGATTTTCCGTAGTTTGCCAATGAAAATCCGTAGACCCTTCCGAGTCACTCTTGGACTTAATGGATAGAGCTCGGTTTCATAAGCGCGTAAGCAAAAACCGTTCACAAAACAAAGTTGTAACGAAGGAGGTATAAGCAAAGCAAAAACATGAGCAAAATAGTAATTTGGACTCCAAAATTCTCATTATACTTGCAACCTCTTATCCCGCATTCAAAGCAGAACTTGGACGTTTGTCTCAAGTATGGCCCTACACATTCATCGCAAAACTTGGCAAGACTGGAAGGCTGAAATAAAGTTTGGTCAGTAAGGAACATTGATTTCTTACGTGTTTCGTCAATATATGCTTCCTCAGACAATGTCTCTCGTATTCTAAACATAGCAAAAACACCCAGAGAGGAAGGTGAATTTGAAACACATGCGAAATAGAACTCACCAATACATACAAGCGTCCCCCTACCTGGTCTCCGGTGAGGGTTTGCAAGCAAACCATGCATTGCGACATGGTCGGGGAATGGAGAGCATGGCCGGAAACGAAAGAGAAAGACTTCTTCGTGGAGCTTAATTGGAAATCAATACAAGTAAGAAGCCACTAAGTGAAATTAACTCCCAAAGCAAGTAGCGAAAATATTTGAACTGATGGACTAAATAAAGAATGATAATGAATTGATGGAGAGTAAGGTTGTGGGTCACATAATGAATTAAACCCCAAAGCAAGTTGCAAAAAAATTAATTCGTCGCGCAAAGAAAATAATTTAATTTAATAATTTCAAATTAAAAATTAAATAAAAAATTAAGTCAAAAGGGATGTAGGCGACGAAATATTAATATTCGCCACTTAAAGTTTTTCAAAAATAATAAAAACTATGAACATATCTAAATTTTAAAATTTATAATATAAAATTAAATCAAAAAAGAAAAAAAAAATAGTTTAGGAGACGAAATATTTGGATTTCTTAGCACAAAGGTTTTAAAAAATAATTTTTTATTTCATTTATTTTTTCAAAGACTTTGCACGATGAAGTTTAAAATTTGTGGCGACGATGCATGTTTCGTCGTGCAAAATTTTGTTACGCAAGGAGGTCTTTTTTTACTAATGCATACTACACCACCATACATGAGATTCATGCATAAATACACCATCACACATAACAACTTCACCCATATGAATGACATAATGTAATTATTCAGATTCAAACCAAACGCAAAGGACTCATAGCTCCCAAATATCGTCTAGTTTCCAGTCTTCTTGTCATCGCAACCTTACTGTGCTGGTGCAGACGGTACATTACTATCACTAGACTTCTTCTTCTTTAGTGGGACGTTCGCTACATGAGAAAATTCAAACAGATGATTTAGCAAATATGCATAACGGTTAATTTGGTAAACCGCTTTATAAAAGACGGCAAAACAGCAAAAGAAAAAACATGCTAAAATTAAAAACAAAATATAAATCAAAGCACACCCCCAATCCAGAAGAGAAGAGATTTACCCGTAGACAGTTTCAAAAGTACGCTTCAATAGTGCAACATTAACACCAACAGCGTAAGATACCCATTTCTTATCTTTAATGAAGACCACCGCTGGCTGCAGAAAAATGGTACACATTTTTTTATAATTATATATACATATACATACATACATACATATATATATATATATATGTATAATATTATATTACTATGTTCTAAGGACATGCACTTACCACAGCACGGACACAGGACATACGCATTGCATAGTCAGAGTCTTCCTATAGGTAGAATAAACCACGTCAGGACCATTTTCATTTTTGAGGCATAACAGGTAATAATATCATAACTGCTATAAGCAGCTGCATAGCTTTGGTCAATGCAATGCTAACTAAACTGCACAAAACCTAGAGTATTAATCCTAAAGGTCTTACCACAAAATTACTGCACAGAACTTCCTTCATAATCTTCAGATTTCCGAACATGTTCAATGATTTCCATATCCTGCAATTAGGGATTATATTCACCAGGAAAACCAAAAACAAAAACAAAAAAGCTGATTTCCGAGCACTACTTTCATCTTCAAAATCCTTTCCTCGTTCTCATTTTCTGAGACATTAGTGACTGATACAAAAGCCCGTGATCTCCCAAACTCTGTAAATCAGACAGTAATCAACCTTGACATCATGAAATTTTTTTTCCCATACGGTTTCGTTTCCTCAATAGCGACTACCTCCGCAAATGGTGCTCTGTAAATAGTTTCCATACTAGAATACACGTGTGCTCTAGTTTCCTCCAACAAAGGGAATAAATAAGACCCGAAATAATGCTGGACCGATTGAAATGATTTCGGAATCTCTTCCACCGAAAACAGTTAAAAGTTCAAAATAATGCAGTGGAAATTAGAAAAACTAAAGAAAATAAGAATATATCTTCTACATTAAAAAACAATCCTCGTCTTGCAGTAGGCTTTAAGATTCAAGGCCAAATCTATCAACTTTACGAATCATGTATTAAGGTGTTACAAAGTTTTCAAGTTTTTGTGGGTCTTTGCAAGTAAGCAATCAAAAAAAACCGGTGAACCAAACAGGAAGCTGGAGAACCAAATAAAAGGGAAAACTATAAGAGAATTAGCATGGGACCATGAAGAAGTTAAAGAAGATAGATTGATAAAAATAAAATAAAAAAAGCACTTAGATAGGTACTGACTACTGAGGGATTGAAGAGAGGGGGCTTACTCAGGACGATGAGGCTCTGCAACCCGTTTGGAAGAGATTGGGGAGAAACAGCAGCATCCCTGAGAAGAAGATAACTTGACTTGGCATCTCGCCAAAAACTTGACTCGTCTGATCAAACTCTTTAGTTAATATTGCTATGAAGCAGAAAATACAGTACGAACTGGTGCAAGAGCTCACACATTCTCAAACATCACTTATGGCTCTCACGCCACACAGTAGTAGTAATTGAACTCGATGAAACCTATTATGAGGCTCAATATAAAAATAATACATGATGCAACTATCTGAGGATGGTGGAATTTAGGGTCTAACGTTTAGGATTTCATGTCATCGGACAAAATTGATACACAAAATCTTACGTTCTAGGTAGTGGTATTGAGAGAAGTCCAAACTGAAAAATCAATGATGTGATTTTTGCTGCATGCATGCACGTAATGCATTGACGCCCTACCAAACCCTTAGCCCCTAACCCTATTAATTAGTTTTTACACCAATACAATCTTGAAACAAAAATACAACACGTTCTTGTGTGGTTTGAATCTGAATAATTGCATGAGTTTGAACTTACGTATTTGTGTCCCTTATATATATGCCATAGCAATCTTTTTGGTTAGCTTAAATTGTACATACCATTCTAGTTAAGGAATGAATGGACTGTGGAGGAAGCCTTCTGCGGGAATAAAGATTTGCACGAGTGCATGATATCTTGAAGACAGACATGCTAGACTACAAAGTAAATAAAAGAAATAAAGGAACCTTGCGTGCGTACCCAAGCATGACGCATGGCATGCTGCTTTCGTATCTCTCTGTACATTTCTTTGCTAACTTTTGTCGATTACCCTACCTTGAATTTAGAACAAGAATCATTTCAAAATATATAACACCTCAAACGAACACATTGGAATCGAGAGTGTGATGGGTGGCAGATGACAATAGTATGCAAGTTTCAATTGCTTTACGTATAATTCGGTTCAATACCTGACTATTTTTTGAGAGATTTTACAGATGTTTTAATTGAAATCTTGATAATTAGCAAATTGCGGTTATAGAATTCTTTACAGTTGCTTGTTAATATAAACAATGTAATTCGAATTCAGATTTCTTATTAGCTTGTGTAGCACTGTGCTTAGTTAATTTTTCCACATTGCTTGTAACATTTCATTAAAAACAAATGATTTCACAAAGTTTACATATTACGTACATTTTCTGAGAGGGTACCATTGGTCATTCATTCGAAAAAGGAAAAAATAACAGAGATTCATTTAATTGAAATGAAACACTATGTAAAACACTGTTTTTTCAATGCCTAATATTATAAGGTTCATTCACTTAATAATATTCTTAATGTGTCAATCCGTACCTTACCTTATACGATAGAATTTTAATATAAGATTAAAAAAAAAAACTATTGAAAAAAGCAACAGTAAAACATGAGTATGCCAAAATAATGGCGATATTTTAAAAGAACCGTGGAAACTCAAACAAATTTGATAGCCTCTTTTTCTCTTTCTAGGGGTGGAGATTTTGGACATAGGCCGTAACCAGCCACTAAATAAAAGTAATGTAACCATATAATTTTAAAACAATATATCGCACGTATATGATTCATAAATCAATTGGAAACAATATAAAAAGTACGGAAACAATACGTACTAACATCGTTATGGATGATAAAATGTGCCAATAAGAAAAATATTTAAACACGTAGCTTCAAGAAAAATGTTTCAATACGTAACCCATAAGAAAAATATATTAATGTGACCCATAAATTTTTTTTATAGGCTTTGCACGACGAAGTATTTTCACAAAGCAAGAGTATATTCATCAGGCAACATTTTGGTGCCCGGGAAAAAAACTGGCGCATATCGTGTGTGAAGGTTTGCTCGACGAACCATCCATGTTTCGTCGAATAAAGGTGTAATTTAGGGTTTAGTGTTTAGGATTTCATTTCATCAGACACAATTGATACACAAAATCTTACGTTCTAGGTAATGGTATTGAGGGAAGTCCTAACTGAAAAATCAATAATGTGACTTTTGCTGCATGCATGCACGTAATGCATTGATGCCCATAGGCTAAGCTACATAAGGGCGAGGAGAGGCGGCCGCCCCTCCCAAGCTGAAAATCAAGCCCATGACCGGTGGTTCTGCCCCTTTAGTCCCATCTAGTTTTCTGGTGTTCTGGGTTTCCTACACGCAGACTTTTTTTTTTTTTTTTTTTTAAATACCCAAGCTTTGCATTTTCAGCTATTGAAAAGTAACGAAGAAGAAGAGAGAGAGAGGAAGAAATAGACTTTCTCTCTCACCCACCCCACCCCACGTGCTGTTTCAAAGTTACACATTTTGATTTGGTTTTTCAACTATTGTACCCAATCAGTTTGGGCCAGATAGCTAGCTATTTAATGTGCTGATTATATTGAGATTTGTTTTGTTTTTTAATTATTGTTTAATTAATTTGCCACTTTTTCAATATTTTTTAGCCACTTTTTTGATACTATTATTTATCTTCAAATTTACTCTAAATTCATACGAACTTCCAAAAATATTTTGTAAAGTATTGCGAACTTGTAATCATTTGAATTTTCATCTCTTACTGTCAAATACAACAAAGTAATAAAAAAAATTGTCGATATTTTTATATATTATATGTTTTATAGTCAATTTTCTTAGATATTTCATGTATATAATAAATAGACACTTACTTATACAATATATAATAAATTTTTTCAAATTCGTCTAGTCCACCTAGGTTAGGTCATGTCCAATTCCTACTTCGAATATTTTGGATAGTGTAAATTCTCCTACAAATATTCTGGGTAGTTCACATATTCTTCATGTAAACCCTAGACTTAGGCCTCGAATGGGTGTCCACATTTTTTGGGGACCTTAAAGTACCGTTTAAATTTCACCTCTTCTCCTGACAATTCTTGACTTCGCCACTGAGACTCATTGAGTAGGTAATCGAAGACAATGATGGAATTTTGGATGCTATAGAGCGTTGTGGTTCACATCAGGGATAAGTGAGCGAAGATATTACAATCATCAACTGCGGGGAAGTTAAGGATGGCAATAATGGAGGGGCTTCGACGTCGGCATGAGGGTTTCTGTGAGTTTTTTTAATTGCTACTTTCTCTGCTTTCTTTCGGTGCTTGATTCCTGTGTTTTTTTTTTCTTTCCTTCCTATGCCGTTGGAAGGTATAATGTTGTTTGAATTTTATGCAATAAAATGATCAGTTAATAATTTATTTTAATAAATGCATTTACTCTGAATAATAACTCTTCACCGCCTCCCACTTATTTCTCTCATCCCCAGCCCCCGGCGGACCTCCCCCACTGCCCTCTCTTTCTAATCTCCCTCCCGCCGGTGACTAACTGTTAATTTGAAGAAGAAAAAAAAAATATAGGAAAACTAATGAAAATGGCTTGAAAACTTTGAGTTTTAATGATAAAGACAAAATAAAGAGTAAAGTGAATAGTCCATGATTGACTTTTTAGTGTAAAAATGTGGTTTTTCGTTAAAGTGAACAGTATTATGGGTTTTTCGTTAAAACTCCCAAAATATATACTTCATTTAATATCTACAATATTTGGTGAACATTTTACAGCCTAAAGAAAACCGACCTCATCTCAATCTCATTCTCAGTTGGTCGATCCCTTTTTTTGATAAAAAAAAATTATAAGCAAATAATTTATTACTTTTATTTCTTAGAAGAAGATTAAGGCAAAAATACGAATGGGAGATTGATGTAAGCCATAACACACAAGCACATGGACTACCTTGACTCAGATGTTCTGCTTAATTTTTTATCAGTGGTCGTTCAATATCTCCCTTGTTGGAGATATTTGGTCAGCTATCTCCCTTGTTGGAGATATTATGATTCTGCCTACCCCTATCCTGGGGTTCCCATCTCTCCTCTCCCTATACAATTTTCCGACTAGCTGAAATAAAGGGTATTTTGTTGTAACCATTGAAAAATGCCTACAGACTATCACTGATAAAAGAAAGGAACGTTTGTTTTACCAAAAAAAAAAAAAAAAAACAAGGAAGGAAAGTTTGCACAAATATAGGTATGCATGTAGAAATGTCTCGATCTTTTGCGTGCTTAAGTGTGTAAACAGATACAGATAAACTCAACCTAAGCATATAACAACTCAGTTTCTAATGGCATATTTGGTTTCAAATTTAACAAATTGAGGCAGAAAAAAGAGATACACCCTTAAGTGTTGGTGGTGAGATTGCATTTTTATTTGATGTAGTACTTACTGCATTCCATATTTGTAGGAATTAACTGCTGTTCTACTTCAACTCGAGCCCAAAGAATGGGCACATTGCCCTAGCCTAACGTGTAATCAAGCAATGCTTATTAATTATAAAGGAATTTCACTATTGTTTTCGATGTTGGTTTGCTGAAATATTTTCAGGATAATTGCTTTAATTACCTTTTGTAACTTTTCAAGTTACCGTGATTGCGATCCCAATCCGGTAAATGCGCAATATTTAGTGAGTTGTATTTAATAATCATTCGAAAATAATAAATAACTGCTCATGCACATTACATGTTCAAAGGATGCACATGCCCTGCACACTAAATGCTCAATACATGCATATGATATGCACACTGCATACTGAAACATGCACATGGCAAGACAAACACTGATCCTCTAAGTACTAAAATTACGATAACACTTAACTGAATAAACCGCAAATTGTACAAAACTTAAAACAAACTTACTTGCAAAAGTTAACCAAAAAAATGCAGTCAAAAATGTTGTCCAAATTTGGTTCGGACAATTACCAAACGATAAGCTCAAGACCAAATATGTTTCCATACAAATCAACTAATGCAATAGCAACTACTAATAGTTGTAAGAGTAAAAATATGGCACGAAAGGACTCATGCCGGCACATCCTTGTGCTGGTATCATATTCCATAGGCCTGATTAAACCTGCCTTTCTAACTCCTTCAGTCTTCCTCCACTTCATCCTCAAATTCAAGAGTTCGCTGTAGTGCCTATAGACAGCTGTCAAAGCATTAAAAACGCCAACAAATGAGAAAGATTTGAAGGCCATGAGAATGGATATCAAATGACAACTACAGTGAAGATTTAAAAGCATCCGTTGGCTGATTGCTCAATGCCCTGTACGGAATAGGATCATCTCCTAAGCAAATGCTCGGAATTCTCATGACCAACCAACACGGGCTGTTGGATTTTGATCCAACAGCTACAATTATTATAACTTTTAGAGGGACCCCCTGTTTGTAGCCGTTGGATCAAAATCTAACGGCCCGTGTTCGTTGGTCATGAAGATCCCGAGCATTTGCTCAGGAGAGGATCCTATTCCGCCCTGTACCTCACCTTGTCCTTGTAGTACATTGTACATATATACAGTCGTAAGAGAGAGAGAGAGGTGATTGAGTGATGATTCGATTAAGGGTGAGAGATGGTAGCTGGTACTGGTGCTTCGGCTTTCTTAGAGCAGTTCCACCGGGGGTGGGAAAGGCCAGCACCCAGCCAAAAAACCAGCCCGGCACCCAGTGAAACCACTCCAGCCCAGCATTTTGACCAACACCCAATCTAAGCTGGTCTCCAGGCCAGCCCAAAATCGACAGAGGTGTGAGCCAGCCCGTATGACGCCATGCTGACGCTAGCATGACGTCGTGGGCCTTTTTTTTTTTTTTTTTTCCTGCAATCTCCACCTGCACCCTCACCGCAATCTCCACCTCCATCACTCTCTGTCGGGCCTCCAATGCCTCCCGATCCCTGGAACCCCATCTGATACACCCGTACGCCTTCTTCATCTACACCCCATCTCAAATCCCTCATTCCTCTTCCCGATTTCCACTCTGCCAATCCTGGGGCTCCGGTTGCTCAGCGCAGGGATCGCTCAGAGATAGCTCTCTCTGATTCGAGGAACAAGAAGAAAGACTTGCTAGTCTTTCGATCCAAATGAAATCAGGTGCATAATCCGCTTCCTCATTTGAAGAAGAAAACGTGGAGAAAAAGGGAAGGAAAAAAGAGTGGGGAGAGAGACGGTTGGTTGGAGAAATAAGGGGAGAAAGGACCGGAGAAGGAATGGAAGCAGTGGGAAGGAAACAAAAATGGTAGATCTTTCGAGAGAAATGAAGAAAAAAGAACAAATAAATTAAATGATAAAATATTAATTGATATGAATAAAATAATATAATATTAGATGGGCTGGGTGCTAGCGGATTTTTAGGGGTGGAAATGCTTTAGCCTATTACTGTACACTGGAGTCTATTACTGTTCATTTGAGTGGATAAATGAGCTGGGTGTTGGCACAAAGTCTTTAGAGATGGAATTGCTCTTAGAGAGAGAGAGAGAGAACCTAACACATTCAGTCTTGGACTTATTGACATAGATCAACCCTAGACTAGTATCACTAGTAACTACTATGAGAGGGTTTGCTCCATGTGTAGTCATTTCTACACAGAGACCCATCAACTCAACTCAAATCTTAAACAAAAAATGTATGTACAATTTAAGCCCAATTAAAAAGATAGTCATGCCACATGGGAAATTTAATGGACTTGGATTGTCTACCCTCCTCCCCGTCTCATACCCTTCTCATTTCCTCCTATTTCTGTGATCACGGTTAAGCCACGTTAATATTTTATATTCCCATTACTTTTTGTCTTATTATTTCTAAAAAAAAATCAATATAAAATCTTAACGTGGCTTAACTGTGACCACAGAATATAGGAGGGGATGGGAAGGGTATGGGATGGGGAGGGCAGACAATCCAGGTCCAAATTTAACATCTATACATAGATATTTTCTGTATGACTAGTGAAGTGGGTTGGGAACCAAGCAAGCTTCCACTGGTTTAACGAGTGAATTCTTGAACTTGAATCTAATATTGCATTTCAACTGAATCTAAAATTACATCATCTCAAACACATGTAATTAGTCAGGTTCAAACCACACAAGAACGTGAGGTATTTTTTCTTTCAAGATTGTCTAGGTGCTAAAACTAAAAGGGTTTGGTAGGGCATTAATGCAGTTGGGTCATGCATGCAGCAAAATCATGTTATTGATCTTTCAATTCATAAACAAGCCCTTCACGTTTCCAAAAAAAACAAAAACAAAAAACAAGCCCTTCCCTTTCTGTGCCACACAAAAGTTGTACAACATACAAACTCATACAATTCAAATTTTTTCCCATCATCATCTCTCTTTCTCTTTGCTACCTTTAAAGTACCTGAAAATTAATATGAAATAACACCATGCATGCTATAGACTCATAAAAAAGGGATAGAAGAAGGAGAAAGGAGAGGATTTTTGGAAGGTAGCGAGTAAAATAATATGTAGAAATTGTTTAACTGGAATGCTCATTCATTAACCCAACGTATAAGTAGTTTCAAGTGTAAAATGATGTTCAGAATACAAATAATATCACAATTCTCCAAAATATATCAACTAATATTTAACACGTCAACAAAAGTTTACGATTTCGCCTCAAATGACATTTTCGTAAATTCACACTTAAAATTATAAAAACCGTGAAATTTTGAGACGGATTGTTACATCAAGAATAGAGAAGAAAAGAACGGTGAGTATGAAATTAACTAACTTCTCAATTAACATGATTTTTTTATCTTTTAGGTATTTTGATGTCTAGCAAATGCAAAGAAGTTAAAAATTAGAATAATTTTGACTGGAAAACGATTTCCACACTCCTTTTATCACCATGCACTTCTTTAATTTGTTTCTATCTCTTAATTCACTACTGATTGATTCAATTAAAAGAGAGTGCGGAGATAGAACGAGAGTACAAAAATCATTTTTCGTTTTGAATTCTAAATTTTATTACACAGAAAGTCAAATCAAATGTGCTACATCCACATGCAACCAATGATCACGAGACACACTGTCACGGTGGCTAGCGGCGGCTCCTATTATTAACTCGCACAATAATTATTCGTATTATTGGAAGAAAATGTGCATTAAGATTAAAAGAATAAAATACATTGACAAAACTAAAGGAAATAATTCAAGTTCTTCACTACATTGGCCACGAACGATAGTACAAATCCCCAAATTTTTGTAGCAAAAACCATTTCAATTGGCAAAGCAGAAGAACCAAGAAGAACTGATCCATTCATTCTCTCTGTGGTTGCTTGCTGTTAGTTCCAGTAACGGCGTCCACAGGAGGCAGCGTCTGCACAAAACGCACAGCGAGGTGAGTGAAACATTTCGTCGAACACCTTGCGTGCAAATATTCAGAGTCAAATTAAGAACATATATTAAAGGCATATATCACTGGTTTCGTGTGTGAGAGAGTGACAGAGAATGAGAAAGTGAAAGAGGACAGAGGAGAGAGGTCGTACTAGATCAGGCTTGTAGAGATTGTGGACGACGGAGGCACCTGCAAGAAGAGAAGCCACAACGACGACGGAGGACCAAGCCAGAGATGGAGTGCCCATTGGCGGCCTCCCTCCCCCAAATTTCCGATTCATTCCTAACCTAACACAACACAACACAATCGGCGGCGGCGCCTCAATTGAGATTCCGGCCCCGTTTTTTTTTTCTCTCCTTCTCTTTTTATTTTTTCTGTAATTCCCGCCCGCGGTTTTTTTGTTTCCCTAGCACGAACGCCGTGTTCTCTTAACGGGCTTCGAGCGAACTTCATTTTCCTTGGTGTAATTAGGGCCTTGTAACATTTGTTTGTATGGCCCATGTAACAAAAAGAAGAAATTTTTTTGTTGGTTTACTTTCTTCTCCACTTCCGGATTAGTATCGAACAGTAAGTGGCCATAATTTTTTTGGATCATAGGGCATCGGAGAAAGAGACTGATATTGGAGAAAATTTAGATTAATTGGTGACCTAGAAATAGACAATTTTGAACTTTCAATTATCAAGAAACCTTGCAGAATCATTAAAAAAATTGAGAAAATAGATGGAGAACGTTTAAATGAGAAGGTTGCTCACCTTTTCGAAAATGAAAAGGAATCTGTTTTTTTACTAGCATCCCAATTTAATTTTATGCTTATGCAACTAGCTTCAAAGGTGCAATGCAACATTTTCGAAATTTCATATAACTTTTCATCCGTATATTCTAATTCATGATTTCTTAAGTGTTTACCAATACACAAAATAAAGAAACATGTGAGTTTTACATGACAATTTGTAATTCGATACATGAAAACCCATGATTTAGATTCATTAGGGGCCACTTGATGTCATACACGTTCATTTTTTCTCTTATTTTCAAATTTCCCAATATGTAGACACGCATAACTCACTATATTATCGAACCCACTTAGTTTTGTGTATCTAAAATGAATAAAAACATCTATAAGCACAACAGAAGAATGTCAAGAAACACGAGGAGCAATAAAGACTGAAACCATGTCGGAACAGGGTGATTTAATTAATTAATTAGCATAAGCGAACCCAATTTATAGAGGGTTCAATAAATCTCTCTCATTACACAAGCACAGCCCACAGGCTCATCTCTTCCACACAGATTAAAAAATATTATACAAGAAATTAGCATTGTTTGGTGCAAATGCATATACGGCGGAAGCCACGGCATTGTCCTCCACTGGAGCCCTCTAATTTGCAGGTGTCTACGCAGTTGTTTGTGAAGAAGCACACTCCCTTGAACTTGCTACTCGGATGAGAATCGCACGTCTTTTTCTCAGCTGCTCCCTTGCTAGTCATGCCACTCCTTCCCTCAACGGCCATTGGCCCCATCTCTGTCAAATTCCAACTCATTAAAATGACATCAATCTTTAGTTTAAGATCATATTAAATAAGAAAAGAGATAAGTTTGAGATTGTTTATGGAAGGCTAAAAGTACCTTCTGACAATAAAATACGCTTCTAATTATGTCTAATAGAAAAATTTATAAAACACTTTTAAGTTGTGAAAGTGGAAGTACTTCATTTTCAATAAAAAAAATTGTACGTATTTAAAGTAAAAGGCAAAAGCTTATATAAGCACAATTGATTCTTTCATACCAGTAGTGGCTAAAAGTAGGATGAGAATGAAGGCAGCTGAAACAAAACGCATTGAGGGCTCCATCTTTGATCTGTGTGTACGTGTATATGTGAGTGTGTGCTTGATCTGTGTGTGTGTGCTTGTGTATGAAATAAACAGCAGATTTTGCTAATGCAAAGAACTATAACCATGCATGGCTTATATAGGGAAAGAAGATCCATCTCCGAAAACGAAGCTTAGCTCCATAGCCAAAATAAGCAGTCGAAAATTTCCAACTTAAAGAGGCACCACAAACCAACTTCCTATTTTTGTGAACTAACTTTCAGCTTCATAATTTAGGTTACTATAACCTACGTACATTTTTGCATTTGGATGGTGTTATTCACACATTTTTACATCTCACATTTTCCTCTTAATTTTTAGTCTTCGGATCGAATGTCATTAAAAAAGATTAATAGACAATAATTAATAAATATGTAACATAAGTAAAAAGTGACGTGTGGATAACACTACCCTTTTCATATACATAAGACCTTTTTAACAAAACCATAATATAGTACACTTCCCCTTGATCAATTTCATTCTTTCTTTCTTGGTCCCCATTAATGAAAGGTACACCAAAAAAATAAAAACCTATATAAAAAGGTTAATGCGAGTGCTGTATATATGATTTAATTTCCATCTACAAATTCCATTCCACTTTTTTGGTTACATATACATAACACCTTTTTAACAAGCTTATAACAGTTAAGATTTCAAACTTAGGGTTAGAAACTTGGAATGATATTATTAATAAATATAATTTCTTAAAAATGCATACTATAGCAATACCACACAGAAGTGGGAGAAAATATGAAAGTGTTTATAAAAAAATATGTGGAATAGTCTTTTAAAATATGACTAAAAGGTCACGAGTTCGAGTTGTGAAAGCATTCTCTTTGCAAAGTAAGGGTAAGACTATGTACGATAGACTTTCTCGTCCCTCTGACTTTCGCAAATCGGAGAGCCTTATTATTGGCTTAAGGTCGCCCTTTTTCGTCATTTAAAATATGAAAGTGTTTTAAAATGTTATCAAGAAAATATTATCTTAAAGAACTATTTCTTCTAAAATAAAATAAAAATATTAAGTCTTTCCTTAAAAGATGCTTAAGCAACTTCGAACCTTTTTCCTAATATTTTCTGGCGCATCAATCTCCCCTTGTCCTACATATTATTACTGGTTGAAGAGTCGAAAGAACTTAATACAACCGAAGCTTTGAACAAAAAGTTCCATCTCACATCGACAATGTGACTTAACAATCATGGTGATACAAACTAAAGTAATGTGTTGAATTCACACTTACTGGATTTCTTTTTCAACAAATTCCTTGTCAAAACAGAGAAAAATAAGTTTCGCTATGAGCATTCCACAATAATTATCTTACACTTTTTCTTGATCAAAAGTCAATAATCGAAAGAGGAGTTTGTGATTATGTCTGGAATATTAATAACAACCCCGTAGAAAAGGATATGAGATAATAGGTGATTAAAAGTATCTAAGGTGCTGTGAAAACACTACACAAGATATAAGAATAATGATCCATGCGTGATCATTCAATTTATTCGCAAAAGTGAATACAGGATCATATCAATCGATCTCATTACTCAAGTATGATCCATATACAGCTTACATTTCTTTTAACAAATCAATTAGCACTTTTTGGTGCACATGCATCTACGGCGGAAGCCCTTGCATTTGCCTCCATCGAATTTCTCTCTTGCGCAGGTGTTTGCACAGTTGTTAGACGAAAAGCACATCCCCTTGAACTTGCCGCTCGCAGCCTCACAGGTCCTTTTCTCAACTTCCTTGCTTGACTTGGACTTTGCCTCAACACCCATTGGCCCCATCTCTATCAAATCCAATTTCATCAAGCATAAAGATCATTTTTTGTTGTTGTTGAATAAGATGCTTTATTCAAAACACCATAAGAAATTAATTAATAAAAAGAGATATAATTACCTGTAGTGGCCAACAGCAAGACAAGAACGAAGGCGGCAGAAACAAGACGCATTGAAGGCTCCATTTTTATTTGTGTGTATGTGAATGTGTGCTTGATTTATGTGTTTGCGTATGACTTGTTATATAGGGATCAAGGGCAGATTAAAAAGGATTCTTCTCCGCAAAGAGAGGTGGCTTCATACTCAAAATAAAAAGTTGAAATTTTCAGCTTATGAAGCACCATAAACCAAATTCCTATTTTTGATGACAAAGTTCTCCGCCTTCCATTTTTCTGTGCATATTATGGTCTCTTTTTCAAGCACACTTAACTTTTACTTTTAAATGAATATTTGGATTTTAGGCACATTTTGACTTATTATTCACATTTTTATATGTAAATGAAGCGACATATATCACACTTAAAAGGACCATTTAACAAAACGATTTTTTTACACAAGTTTTAGTATGTGTATACCAAATTAACATAAATTATAGAACATGATTTGAACATTAGGAATAGAGGAAGATTAAGTTGCTTTAGCTAATTTAGCTAAGCCTAATAAAATGAATCTTAAAGCAGAACTCTTGAGAAAATGATGATTAATTGCATTTCAAAAGTAGGGCATTAGAAATACTCAAATTCGTTGACAAATATAGAAGTTACATAATACGACGTTACGAAATAACTCACGACGGTGGTTCTTAACAAACAAGAACATTAAGAACCACAACAGGGATACGATGTTAACAACCCAACTGTGAATTGGGCCATTAACTTATTCTAGCTAGTTCCACACTCGTACCAAAGTACCTACGTCCATGCACCCACTGATAATTAAGTGATAAGTGATCAGCTCATCACTAGCTTAATTAATTAGCTAATTAACAATGTCTAGTGCAAAAGCATCTACGGCGTAAGCCACGGCAATTGCCCCCGGGGAAGCCCTCAGTTTGGCAAACAGAAGCACAGTTACTTTTACTCACGCAGGTTCCTTTGAAACGGTTACTCTGAGACTCGCAGGTCCTACCTTCAGCAACCATCGTCCCTTTAAACAATTATTCCAAACAATAAATAGTTAATATGCATGCTTAAAATCGTAATATTATATATTAGCGACGAAGTTATTAACAACATCAAGGGAACAGAAATATTACCGGTGGCCACCAAAAGCAGCAGTAAGACGAAGGCGGTTGGAAATAAACGCATGGAACGCTCCATCTTTATATAATTTGTATGTGCCTAGAGTCGGAACCTAGCAGCCCTTATATAGACCGGAGATTGAGAAGATGGGAAGAGATCATCTCCGGATCTCTTCTACCAAATCCTATGAATTTGGAGATTCAGACTCTTAAAATTTGATCCAACGATTACAAACATGAAAACATTTAAAAATTATAATAATTGTAACCGTGTGATCAAATTTAAAATATTCGGATCTCCCAATCCCTCTCCCAGAGAAGATAAGATATGTGCATGTGCTAAAGCAATATTACTGATGTGATTGGGCCATACCGTTCACAAATAAACGACGATAAAGAAAGAGGGAAATAATAGGAGCCATGCATATTTCTGTGCTCAAATGAATGAGTGAGTCAGTACTTGCAGCAGTGACATGTCTTTCTCTGCCCTTTTTTTCTCCAATCTCTCCTGTCAAAATCACACAATCAATTAATTAGAATCTTTAAAATTTAATCTAGTAGGTAAAATTACTATAACTTTTAAAATGACTTCTCATTCGTAACCGTTGGATCACAAGGATCCGACATAATTAATTGTTATTTTGGTGGGAGAGGTCAGGAGGGGACCTCTTCTCCTTTTTCCCCACATGACGACAATTAATCCCTGTTTTAGTGCTGTGAAAAATGCTTCTTTTCTTTGCTGCTCCAATGGTAGTCATCAGACTCATCACTTAACTTGATCATGAACATGTTATAAACTTATAGCTAGTTAGGCTTTATAGTTTAGGGTTTAGCCATCTCCAAAATCATAACCAGCAAGATTGTTGGAGAATCGAAAAGCTTGAATTTAATTCATTATTTAGTACGAGAGAGAAGGAGATCAGTCTAATAGTATTCCAATAAACATAGATATGAAGTTTTTTTTTCTTTTCTTTTTACAAGAATCAATTAATAGTAAGAAAAACTAATGAAAAGAGTTTGAAAATTTTGAGTTTTAACAATAAGGATAAAATAAAGGGTAAAATAAATAGTATCATATTTGACTTTTTAGTATAAAAATATGATTTTTCGTTAAAATGAACAGTACCGTGAATTTTTAGTTAAAACTCCCATTTTTGAATTGATTACCACAAACACTACCGGTAGTAGCACAAGTGCCAGAAGTTTAGATCCGTCAATCTTGTTGTTAGATACTGCCAATGTGACACCAATCTTGATGTTATACTCTTATTAAGGCTGGCTAGGTCATTACAAAAAATTGTCTCGAAAGTAATTTCTAACCAAAGGTCATAATTAAAATAAGTGTGCAAAATTAAAAAAAAAAAATGAGCCAGACTAGCAATCATTGTTATAAAAGTTATGCAAATCCTAAATTATTTCAAGGAAATCTTAATGAAACATTCATAATACTGTTCAGTTTTAACGAAAATTTACCTTTTTTCTAACCTCATCTCTTAGAGACGTGGCAGGCCAATGACCTTTGGCTCATTCTTATATAATAAGGTCAAACTAATGTTTTGCATCTACATAAGAGTAATTCCACCCCTAAAGACTTTGCGCCAATATCTAACGCATTTATCTACTTAAGTGAACAGTAATAGACTCCAGTGAACAATAATAGGCCAAAGCATCTCCATCTCTAAAAAAAATGCGATAGCACCCAGTCTAAAAATGTGATGGCACAAATGATCTCTATCCCTACAAAATGAGCTGGCATCCAGCTCATTTAAAATATTATATATATTTTTTAAAAGAATAAATAAAAAAATAGTTTTATTTTCGGATAAGATTTTTAACCAATTTCGGATAAAATTTTAAATAAACTTAAAAAAAAAACACACTAAAATAAAATTACATACTCATCAAATAAACTTAAAAAAAACAAACTAAAATAAAATTACATAAAATGAACATATCCACAAGAGATTACAAATTAACTCATGCGGTGATAGTTTTACTTAATAAACAAGAACAAAAGAACAATTAATGATAACCCAACCGTGAAAGATTGGGTTATAAATTTATTCTAGTAGCACACGAGCATGCACGGAATGATAATTAAGCGATTATTTAGTCTTAATACCCCGACATGCCACACATATATATCATACATGTATGATTAATGGTGATCATCTCATCATTAATTAATAGCTAATTAACAATGTTTAGTGCAGAAGCATCTGCGGCGAATGCCATGACAATGGCCTCCCTGGAAGCCCTCAGTCTGGCAAACAGTTGCACAGTTGCTTTTACTATGGCAGTGTCCCTTGAACTTGCGGCTGTGAGCCTCACAGGTCCTACCCTCCGCAAGCATTGGTCCCATCATCCCTGCCAATTATGGTTATTAAACAGTCCGAAATTAATATGTTAACAAGAGGCAATTTAGCTGGAGAAGAATATGCATATATTTAGGTTACCTGTAGCCACCAAAAGAAGAACAAAGACGAAGGCAGTCGAAAACAAACGCACGGAACGCTCCATCTTTCTATATATGAAATATACTATATGAGTTAGATCGATGTGAAGATTAGTGACCTTGCAAGCCCTGTTATATACACTTGTTGTGGAGCTGCCGGATCGGTGATGTGCCATTCAGAACTATCGAGAAAATTCAACGTTACTAATTAAAAAAATAATTTTTATAATAATTTACCCTATTTAAATAAATAAAAAAAAAAACTAACTAACCAAGAAACTCACCCCATCCCACCCCACTCCCACCTCCCCCGCAACCCTCCCACCCCACCCCCACCTCCCCCGCAACACCCCCACCTCCACCGGAAGCCCCCCACACACCTATGTCTTACCTTCTCCCTCTCTTCCACTCTCTGTTTGAAATGGTACCAGGCATGGTATTTGATTAATAACTTTGTTAAAGATTGAATCTTGAATAATAGTTTTTAGAAAAAAACTGAAGTTCTTCGAGAGAGAGAGTTGAGAAGTCAAGAGTCTGTGTTTTTTTCATTACCACCGAAAACATTAAGCTTTACAAGGACTATATCAGACCTTTTCAGATAAAAAACCAGAACCTACACTCTAGAGACCTAGGAACTCTTCTCCAGTCATTAATTGACATTGGAGGATATCATCCATCCACTTGGAAGAAGATGGGAAACACAGTACAATTAAAAAACCAGATAAGAACCCAGCTGTAGGAGTTCTAAAAACAGAAACTTAGCCGTTGCACATTTTGAACCAAACGGCTACTTGCTAAAAATAGCAAGTTCTTCACTTCTTCGAATTCAGAGTTCTCTTCACTTCTTTCTGCAGGATTGTCATCTGCAGTCCGACACTAAGCTTGTATGCAGCTTACATCTCAACAGCCTCTCCTAAGCTGCTTACTGGCTTCACTCCAAGTCTCAATCTCAACTGATTAAATCTATCTTTTGGCAACGCTTTTGTAAATATGTCTGCAAGTTGATCTTCACTTCTGCAGAACTGCACATTGATCATCCCTTCTTGCAGAGCTTCCCTTATGAAATGATATCTCCTGTTTATGTGTCTAGTTCTCTGATGAAATACAGGGGTTTTAACCATAGAAATTGCTGACATATTGTCACATAATAGAGGTGTTGCCTCAGTTTGCATTTCCCCAAAGTCATCAAGAACAAATCTCAACCAAATTGACTGTGCAGTTGCCTCAGCTGTTGAAACATACTCAGCTTCAGCTGTTAACAGTGCAACTGTGTTCTGTTTCACAGAGGCCCAAGAAAATACCCCACTGCCAAAACTGAAAGCATAGCCAGAAGTGCTTCTGCTATCATTTTCACTGCCTGCCCAATCTGCATCACAGAAACCAATAAGGATTGCAGACTTGTCTTTCACATATTCAATGCCATAGTTTAGGGTCCCTTGCACATATCTCAGTACCCTTTTTGCAACTCCCAGATGCTTCTTAGTTGGTCCATTCATAAACCTTGATAACAGACTTGCAGCATACATAAGGTCAGGTCTAGTTGCTGTTAAGTACAGCAAGCTTCCAACTATTTTCTTGTAAAGCCCTTCATCTGCCAACTCACTCCTATCCACCTTTTTAAGTTTTTCACCAGTAGATAAGGGAATGGACACAGGTTTGCAGTCTTCAAGCCCAAATTTCTCAAGTAGAGATTTGGCATACTTACTTTGGTGAATAAATACACCTTGATCAGTTTGTAATATCCTCATACCAAGGAAGTGATGCAGGAGACCAAGGTCTGACATTTCATATTTTTGCATCATCTCCTTTTTGAACTCACAAATCATCTTGTCACTGCTGCCAGTATAGATAATGTCATCAACATATATTGAGACAATTATCAACCCTCCTTCATCATCAGATCTTGTGTATAGGGTGGCTTCACTTGTACTTCTTTTGAATTTACACAGAGAAAGATAAGCATCAATTTCACTGTACCAGGCTCTAGGTGCCTGTTTAAGTCCATATAAGGCATTCCTTAACTTGTAGACTTTTTGACTTGCATTTCTCACCTCAAAACCTTCAGGCTGCTCAACATACACTTCTTCATCAATCACACCATTCAGAAACGCAGATTTAACATCCAGTTGAAACAGTTTCCATCCCTTTTGTGCTGCTAAGGCAATGAGAGTTCGAATTGTGTCTAATCTTGCCACAGGTGCAAAAGTTTCATTGTAGTCAATCCCTGGTTTCTGTGCATACCCCTTTGCTACAAGTCTGGCTTTGTGTTTTTGAACTGTTCCATCCAGATTTAATTTTGTTTTAAACACCCATTTCACACCTATAACAGGTTTATCAACAGGTCTCTCAACAAGTTCCCAAGTGTTGTTCTTCTCAATCATCTCCAATTCTGCATTCATAGCTTCTTGCCAAGCTAGATCACTTGCTGCTTCTGAATAAGTCTCAGGTTCTATAATGCACATATGACACCTTGCATATATATCTTCTAGAGTTTTCAATTTCACTGGAGTGGAGCTTGGTGTGGAGCCTTGACTGTGAATTTCACCATTGTCCTCAACTGACTCATGAACAACAGTGTTTGAATGAGAACTTCCAGCACTGTTATACTGGAAATCATCAGTTTGTTCCTCTCTACCTTCTTCTTCATAGTCAAATCCTTCAAGATTGAAATGAGTTGAAGTAGGCTCCACTTGATCATTTTTTCAATTCCATGACTGTTTTTCACTGAAAATTACACTTCTTGAGAGTACTATCTTTTTAGATTGCAGATCATATACTCTATATCCTTTTTCACAGCTCCCATATCCCATGAATACTCCTTTCCTGGACTTTTCATCAAACTTG